TGGTCAGGCTGGGAGATGACCAGCTAAAACCAGCTTGACCAGCCTAGCAAAGCTGGGAGTCCAGCCAAAACCAGCTATGTCCAGCTTAAACCAGGCTGGTCAAGCTGGTTTTAGCTGGATTTGGCTGGTCATTTTAAAGCCTGAACAGCTAACACCAGGCTGGAAATGGCTGGAAACCAGCCTGGAAATGGCCAAAACCCCTCTAAAACCAGCCTGGTCTACCAGCTAAAACCAGCCAACCAGTCTAGGCTGGTTAAAGTTGGATTTTTCGGCAGGGACCAAACCTCCAGGAACAAGTTTGGTGATCCCTGACATATACAGTATAAGACAGATGAGAGATTTTTGTATTTTGGAACACAAAACCTAACATAATAAACCCAAACTCCCCCTGATCCCTAGCCTTGTCTACAAATGACGAGGCACACACCAAGAGACGAAATTTAGGTTACTGTATCCCACTGGCACCGAGTATATCTCTGAGGCATATTTAGTTGCGTTTGTAATCAGCTGTGTGTTTACATTCAGACCCTACAGAGTTTCAGTGTTGTTAGTAACTTTGAGTGGTTTATTCCGGCAACTTTATACAGTTTACATGAGTAACATTTCCTTCAGTAAAGCAGAAAAGGTCCTTCAGTCTGGAGGAAATGAGATACACACACTCTTAGGGCCTCCACCCACTATACGGAAAGGCTTACTAATAAGGCATTGCGTTATGACTTGGTATAGTGTTTTGGAAAATACACTAAATAACTTGGCTTAGTCATAAAGACACACCAAATTCTCTATATTATCTGTCTAATCCCTGATATAACACCACTTGACCCTATATAACACTAGTATACAACATTAAATCATACAGGACAGCCCATCCTGGAGTCGAGAGGTAAGGTTTGCTGGAGAGTTCAAAATTTATAATGTTTATTTTGCTAGTGAACATTGTTATTCCTTAGGTGAAGAATTAATCTGTGAAGGGTAATGCACTGAATATTCAGACCCTTTGTGTGTTTGGAGTGGTGGTTCTACTCTGTTGGTCAGTTTTTATGGCTTCAACAACAATGATATTTTTAACAATACACCTCTTACGGTTAGTCTACTATGAAGGAGTGATGCGCAAATAATAAAGCCCCGCTCCTTATTCAGATTTACACTGTGAGGCCTTTTTTGTTTGCAAATTTCATTTTTATTCCTCAAAACTAAATTTTCCCTTTGCGATTTTTGGAGATTTGTATTTATTCATTTATTTTTGCTCAATACTTTTTATTTTTGTTTGCAAAACTTTCATTTTGCAATTATATATAGCCCTAGATTGACTCTATAGATCCGCATCATGTCTGCCCGGTGATTGTAGCTTCGTTGCTAACATGGATTTTATTGAGAGAGTAGCTGTGTTTATGTGCTTTAGGAAGGCTGAAAACAGTGTTAATTCATGAGGCACTGTGTCTGAGTCCACTAGATCCTTTCAGAGGTGTACTCATCAACTCCTCCAGAAACTGTACCTGGATGACGGAAGCTATTAGCGGCGCTTCAGACTAAGCCGAGCTCAGTTTGATGAGCTGTTGTCTGGTGTCAGCAAGAGGATTTCCCCTCAGGACACCAACAACAGGCGCTACGTCATTATTTCACCCCTACAAGAGAAAGATCTTGATTAGTTAGCATGGCGCATATGTCCGCTGAAGTTCAGATTTTCCAACTCGAGCAATTTCCAAAACTCCAATTGTGCGAAATGCACCACAGGATGTCTATTCCTGTCTTTGCATTGACTTGTTCATCACTCACGCTTGACGCTTCATCACACTTGAGTTTGAGCTTGCACAATTCTGTCAGATGCCGCAGCAAAAATGGACAGGATTAATCAAGATGATGGGACACGATTAAAACAAAAGATTTAACGAAAGCCCTGTATTTGACCTTTCTTTTGATTTTCTCTTGATCTCACATAGTCATGTGACACGAATTCTGAAATGACATGACATACAAAACTTGTACCTTGAGCTTGCGCTTCCGATTTGCAGCATTCATATGCATATGAATGGAGATCAGTGGGCCGAAAAGTGCAGTGTGATTACAGCTTCACGTGTGAGATTTGCTTGCATGGTTATAAAAACATGACTTGATGTACACAGTATGCTCATATTGGGATGATGACTAAATTACATGCACTGTAGGCATATCCTAGCATAAATTACATAGTAGGGGTGTCACGATTTTGATTTTTAATCGAAATCGATCGAAATTTATGCTCAATTTCGATTATCGAATCAAAAAATAGAATCATCGATGCTGCCACGCCCCCATGTCACGTCAGCTTGGCTTGCCAAGCGGGAAAAAACATGCTTGTTGAAGTGCTTGTTAAACTGCAGAAGCAGGAGACCCGTCGACAGAACTTAAACCCTCTCCTCTTTCAATGAAGTCGGCGGTGTGTAAGCATTTTGGATTTCCAGTGAGTTATGTTGACAACGTTCGTGTTGTCGACAAAAAAAAAACACAGTTTTGCAAGCTCTGCTATGTACGTATTACGTACAGTTCGTCCGATAGACAACACCGGCATCGCGATCCACCGCCCGCCTCCGTTGCAAATCCACTCACGAAAAGTACACACTCAGGCCCTGTTTACACTGTCTTTGTTTTTAATAACATTTTAGAACGACAACTATTTGACATCCACAGTGGCGTGTAGCATTTCTGAGCAGCTCTCCTTCCTCTCTACATCTGAAAATGCACATCACGTGACCACACAGACACAGACGCACACACAGCCATGCGCTCGAGACAGCAGGTCCAGGCAGTCAGAGGACTGCTTCAATCTTTCACTCACTTGTGCTTAGTCATTTTAGCGAACACCTCAGATACTGTTGGCTGGTTCCTGTTGGTTGTGCGTCTTTTTTACCGACGCCATTATACCGACACAGATCACTGCCTATTCACGAGTCCCGCAGAAAAAGTGATTGACAGGTGGTAATTATGTGTGTATCTTGCCTTTATTCATTTACTGTATGATTTGTTTATGGGTAAAACAAAGACCATGCAGGGCAGGTAGTTTAAACGGTAGGCTAGAAATAATTAATTGGTCATTAATTAATTAATTATTCATAATCGAAAATCGAATCGAATCGTGCCTTTAGAATCGAAAATGTAATCGAATCGAGGATTTGGAGGATCGTGACACCCTTATTACATAGCAAACGAATACTTTGGATTTAAAGATGAAATACTCCTCCTAGGTCCTTGTTTTTTTCTATTCTATCCCTTAATTGTTTTTTGATATCTGTAATACGTTAGTTAAGGTATGTTTCAGATAAATTTCCTTCTTGTACACATTTATGAGTTGTATAGATCACGTATTGAACCACTGACTTAACCTTTCCCTTTTCCAACCAATAGTTTTATTTTAAAGCAAATGTGAGATTTTCGGACTGCAGCCACATAGTTTTACCTTGTATTTATCTGTTCTGTTAACCCGAGCGCTCTGCATCAGCACCCTACAAAGTGAGCTACCGAGGCAACTTGCCATGCCAGAAAAGTCGCCTATATGAAGATAAATAACCAATAAGAACATATTCATATTCATACTGCCTTGTCGTATACCTAGAAGCCTTTAAGTATGTTTTTTTGTGGTTACAGAAATGTGTAAGCTGAAACATGTGAACCCAGTGAGCTTGTGTTGCAGCATAACGTAGCTGAGCTCGTTTGAAATGGTTAATGTAAACTGTACTGATTTTGTTTAGTTTGCTTGAAAGGCATTTGGCAATAGGCAATGAATCAACGTAAACCTTTATTGCACAGTCAAGGTTATGTCTAACTACTGCAACATGCTCTCTCTTATCTCAGTGATAAGACTAACCTTGATCCTTTCCCTTCTACATCATAACATTATCTGCTAAGTCTAAGGTAGAAACTACACACTATATATATATATATATATATATATATATATATATATATATATATATATATATATATATATATATATATATATATATGTGTGTGTGTGTGTGTGTGTGTTTATGTATGTATGTGTGTGTTGCAAAATATAGTACAAAAACTAGCACCCTAGTAAATACCATTGTATTTTTGAGTCATACTATAGTAAAGTGTATTACACTGGACTCTTTATTAAGTACACCTTACTAGTACTGGGTTGGACATGCTTTTGCCTTAATGCCTTAATCCTTCAGGGCATAAGATCAACAAGGTACTGAAAATATTTCTTAGAGATTTTGGTCCATATTGATATGATAGCATAACGCAGCTGCTGCAAATTTGTCGGCTGCACATCCATGATGTGAATCTCCTGTTCCACCACATCCCAAAGGTGCTCTATTGGGTTGAGTTCTGATGACTGTGGAGGCCATTTGAGTACAGTGAACTCATTGTCATGTTTAAAAAACCAGTCTGAGATGATTCACGCTTTATGACATGGTGCGTTATCCTGCTGGAAGTAGCCATCAGAAGATGGGTACACTGTGGTCATAAAGGGATGGAGATGATTAGCAGCAATACTCAGGTAGGCTGTGGCGTTGACACGATGCTCAATTAGTACTAATGGGCCTTAAGTGTGCCAAGAAAACACCCCTCACACAATTCCACCACCACCACCAACCTGAACCTGAAAAGGCAGGATGGATCCATGCTTTCATGTTGTTGATGCCAAATTCTGACCCGACCATCTGAATGTTGCAGCAGAAATCAAGACTCATCAGAGCAGGCAACATTTTTCCATTTTTCTATTATCCCATTTTGGTGACCCTGTGTGAATTGCAGCCTCAGTTTCTTAGCTGACTCACAATAACATTTCAGCAGATGAATCCCGGTGCTTCACTATAGCATTGCTCAAAAACACTGTAGTATTTACAAAAAAATGCAATAGCAGTCTTGCATGTGGAAAAGAATCTGGGTGGTATTAAGCTAAAGTCCTAAAGTCCATGAATTAATGCAAGAGGAGGGGCATAAAAACAGCAGATAAGAAAAAGAGGTGAAAGACTGAGCAGAAAGACTGAGCAGAAAGGAGACGCATGAAAGTCAGAAGACAAACATGGCCCTTGTACAAATCCTGCTTGCTCTATTAATCTCAGTCATAGGTGCTCTTTACCTTCTGGGATCTTTTCGCCGCAGACGAACCGGAGAACCTCCATTGGAAAAGGGTCCCATTCCCTGGCTTGGCCATGTGCTGGAATTCAGGAAGGATACAGCAAAATTCCTGAACCGGATGAAAGCAAAACATGGAGATATCTTTACAGTGCAGCTCGGAGGCTTTTACTTCACCTTCATCACAGATCCGCTGTCTTTCGGCGCTGTGGTCAAAGAGGCAAGAGCAAAGCTGGACTTCACAAAGTTTGCCGAGCAACTGGTGCAAAGAGTGTTTGGCTATCATTCAATACAAAGCGAACACAAAGTTCTCCAAGCGTCGAGCACCAAACATCTGATGGGAGACGGTCTGGTGGTCATGACTCAAGCCATGATGTACAACCTTCAGAATCTGATGCTCCACAGCGTTGGGTCTGGGAATGGCAAAGTGTGGCAGGAATCTGGACTTTTTGCGTACAGCTACAACATTGTTTTTCGAGCAGGTTATCTGTCACTGTTTGGTAATGAGTCCCCCAAAGGCACAGGAAAAGAGTCTGTAGAAAAAGCCAAAGAAATCGACAGACAGGAATCAAATGATCTTTTTTGGGAATTCCGAAAATATGACCAGCTGTTTCCTAATCTGGCGTATGGAGTGCTGGGCCCCAGCGAGAAGATGGAGGCAGAGCGTTTGAAAAGGCTCTTCTGGAGCACACTGTCAGTGCAGAAGATGAGAGCCAGAGACAACATCAGCGGCTGGGTTTCAGATCAGCAGCAGGTCAGAGCCGAGCACGGCATGCAGGAGTTCATGCAGGACAGATACATGTTTCTGCTTCTGTGGGCGTCTCAGGGAAACACGGGTCCTTCTGCATTCTGGCTGCTCTTGTATCTGATGAAGCACCCCGAGGCTATGAGCGCTGTTAGGAAGGAGGTTGAGGAGATTCTCAAAGAAGCAGGGCAGGAGGTGAAACCAGGAGGCCCACTGATAGACCTGAGCAGGGATATGCTCCTGAAAACTCCCATCCTAGACAGTGCAGTGGAAGAGACTCTCCGTTTGACAGCCGCCCCTATCCTTACCAGAGCTGTTATGCAGGATATGACCATTATTATGGCAAACGGACAAGAGTACAAGATCCGTGAGGGTGACAGAGTTGCAGTTTTCCCCTATGTGGTTCATGTAGATCCCGAAGTTCACCCGGATCCCCTCACCTTCAAGTATGACCGGTTTCTCAATGCAGATGGAAGCAGAAAGACTGATTTCTACAAGGGTGGAAAGAAGCTCAAGTATTACAGCATGCCCTGGGGAGCTGGAACCACAATGTGCCCGGGAAGATTCTTTGCCACAAATGAGCTGAAGCAGTTTGTCTTTCTCATGCTGTCCTACTTTGACTTTGAGCTGACAAATCCAAATGAACAGATTCCAGGTATTGATATCAGACGATGGGGTTTTGGCTCCATGCAGCCAGATCGAGACATCCAGTTCAGATACAGACCTAGAATTTAAAAACACTGTTTCCTCTTTTTTTGTGTGTTTCTGTGATCTAATATTAAGACTTTCACAATGCTCAAAAGACAGCATGATGTTTTTGGTTTAGGTTTTAAAACTGACATGCTTTCGCATTTCCTGCATTTACAGTGTGAGATTGCTTGGGAAAAGGTTGTTTAATCACTGTCTCCTAAAATACTGTGAATGTTTTTGCAACTGAATGTTCCAGGAGCTTGTGTTTACTTTGTTTATCTATGTGAGTACAGATGTCAAACAACTTACATAGCAGCGGTTTTGTGCATAATCATGTTTCTTTTAAAAATATATCAGCACAATATGCATGTCTATATATATGTTTATACAAAACATGTGCAAATGCCAGTTCATAAATATATAGAATTTATAAATAAAGACTTTACGACTTTAAAGTGTTTTTGTCTTTCTTCAGTGACAATATAATTTATACAACAGTTCTGTCTCGTTCTCGAATCTGATTGGCTCATAGCAGTGTGTGTGTGTGTGTGTGTGTGTGTGTGTGAGACTAAATGCAATATCACACTCTTAGGAGTGCAATATGGCTGTATATCAGCACTGGTGGGAGGCGTGTATTGGCTTGTCAATGTCAATATATATTTGTAAAACATTAGATTGATATACTGGACAAGGTGGCGGATTCTTTCAAATTTCTCAGACCTGAAGAGATTCACAAACACATTTGACACAGAAAGCCCTTGCTTGTGAACTGCCAATACCCTCAACACAACAACTTTAGAAATTCCTCTTCCTGGAAAGAAGGTATGAGGCTGTAAAGGAGTCTTAAACTAGGAGTCTGATAGTTAGCCAATAGTATATTAGCATATATTGTTGTCAAGTGTGTTTGAATGGAAACTAATTTCTGAAAGTGGGAGAGAGATAATCAGTATTGTGCATGACAGGATTGAGTGGTAATGTCTTGTTTAAAATCAGCGTTTACTTAAAGGAATTTACTATGATGTTCCCTATTTAGATTCTAGAACTAGCTCATTAAGATCATTTCAACTGCAGATAAAGGGTCAAGAGATAATCGAGACATCATTTAAATAGGCCTTGAACTTTGCATTATAGATAGCTTTTTTTTGTTAGGTTGTTGCCTTGGGAGACATGACCTTTAAACAACAGACAACGACTGAACTTGACCTTCCATTGTAAAATATAAAAAATAATAATTGAAAAAAGTGTGTGTGTGTGTGTGTATATATATATATTACAATTAGTAGTAGTATTATAATAATATTATTATTATAAGCTTTTGTAAATTAATTTATTTGGTATTGAATTAAAGTATGTATATATATATATATATATATATATATATATATATCATTGCTCAACAATAAGGACTGCCCGATGGCCCGGAGCCAGCATGTGAGTTGCTTGGGACAGTAGACAGGATCGTTACTGGCCCAATCGGGACACTGCTGTCTTGTCACTCAAGTTTCATTTGCCTTTGACTATTTGTCAATACAAATACAGTATTAGAATTGAGAAAGTTTGTGTTTTCAAGCCTTCAAATAATACCTTCTCGGTTCTTCTAATCAGATTGGATGTTGTGAGCACGCAATTTTTTTCCATATCAACCAGTACAGCGAAGATACAGCAACATGGCAGTAACATCAAATAAATATGCTAAAGAAAAACATTTGTTTCTAACGTCTTGGAAGCAGACATTTACAAGGGTATATCACAACAAAAAAATTAAGTGATGTTTTGTACAGGTTGTCGTCAGTTTGGCAGGTCTTTAGCCATCTTTTGTTTCAAAACACTTGATTATTATACATTTATTACATTCATACATACATTATTTATACATTCATTTTTAAATACTTAAATTCTAGATTTACAAACATTTTGACAAGTTTTTTTTATTTTTTATTTGTGGCTAAGAAATAACTATTAACTTTTTTTTGGTGGGGCCAGTAAAAAATGGCAGGGCAAGTAAAAATCTGAACCACTGGTCTGATTGGGCCAGTAAAAAAATCCTTAGCATTGAACCCTGTATATATATATATATATATATATATATATATTACAATTACTCGTAGTATTATAATAATATTATTATTATAAGCTTTTGTAAATTAATTTATTTGGTATTGAATTAAAGTACATATATATATATATATATATATATATATATATATATATATATATATATATATATGAGGAATATTACACGAGTAGCATTGCGATATGGGAGTATATCAGCACTAGTGGGAGGCATGCGTTGGCACGAGGCCGCAGTGTGATTTTTCTTACACTTTACGATTATAAGGCTGAACGTGACATGAAAAGCCATCCATCTACAGAGATATCTTCTTACAATCTACTGTATTTCTCTGTTCTCTCGGGATTTCACAATAATTAACCCATAAATTACAATGAATCCACTAACGTTACCAGACTGCTGTTGTGTTTGCGATAAGGAAAACGCTAAACACGTGCAGACTTTGCTTATTTCAATCTGCCAACACAACACACATTCCTGTTATGTGAGTAAATTGGTATAAATACAGCTCTACAACATACAAAAGAGAGAGATCATCTTACCTGCCAACATGTCTCTGAAAACCCAGGAGACTGGGGGGAGAGGGTGTTCGGGGGTGAGGTTGAGAACAGGATGCAGCGCGTTTTGTCTCTGATCGGGTACTGTACCAAAGTTGGCAACCCGGGGGTGTTTACTTTACAGACTGTACCAAAGAGGGGGGTGAGTGAAATTACGGGAGTTTTTTTAAGGCAGAAAAAAAAAGGGATGTTTGCGGGAGACTGGTCTGAAATACGGGATACTCTCATGAAAAAAGGAAGTGTTGGCAGGTGTGCTTACCAGTTTAATTTTGATTTGATCTGCTATAGTTAGAAATCAGACTGTTATATCTTCTAATCGTAAGGGCTTATTATGCGGTTCTGTCGACATCTTGTGGATAGAAAACGTCAACTTTTACCGATGAGCTCTCAGAAATTGTTAATAATTTAAACTAGGCACTATTTTTACAAATAAACTGCATAGTTGCAATTTAAACAACTACAATCTCGATTAAAAAAGCTTTAAAAGTATATTTTGTTGTGTAACAGCAGTAATATTTGTCAAACTGTAGTGTCTGCTTGTTGCTTGCTGTATGTATGCGGAGCAATACACAAAGGGTAAAGAGGATTTACGGGTGCTGATATTACTTAAATATATCACGGCTATCAGCCAATCAGATTCGAGATCCAGACAGAACTGTTGTGTGTGTGTGTATATATATATATATATATATATATATATATATATATATATATATATATATATATATATATATATATATATTTATGCACAGCACTCACTAACTGGTCTCTGTTATATATATATATATATATATATATATATATATAAATAATGGAGGCCAGCTAGTGATCGCTGTACAGGTAAAACCTCACTCCTCTGACTTTTAAAGTAAAATATTTAACATTAAATCATTGAATATATTACACACAGAAGTGTGGTGAATAATATATTTTTAACATAATTACAACAGGCATAATTTCACAAAAGTACATTAGCAGCCTTCATAAGGTATACACAATATCCAAAATGCATTTTCTATTTGCTGTGTATGAAACAGTGCAATTACATCTCACAACCGTTAACAATTGTGAACAATATTTTGTCATTAAGTAATATGAAGAGCATGCAACCTTTCTATATAAACAATACATTCACATATCTGCATACATACAGTATATCAAAACGTTCTCACCTCATTTAAAAAAAAATCTTAAAAAAACAAACGTAATAAATAAATAAAGTGTTGCCTAATTGTGCATCTAAGTTTTTGCAGAGTAGTTTTTAATCCAGAATAATGTGAAGGGTCAAGGCTTCCGTTATCTTCATGATAAGAGTGTTGGAGAAAAAGTGGAAGCGGTTCAGCATATCTCGAAATCACTACACTGATGTCATTTACTTTGTGAACATTGCTGAACACATCATGTAGTACGTAGAGTAATAAAATTTCTGTGGAGTTTGCATGTTCTCTCTGCGTTCACGCGGGTTTCCTCCGGGTGCTCCGGTTTCCCCCAGAGTCCAAAGACATACGGTACAGGTGAGTTTGGTAGGCTTAATTGTCCGTAGTGTATAAGTGTGAATGAGTGTGTGTGGATGTTTCCCAGAGATGGGTTGCAGCTGGAAGGGCATCCGCTGTGTAAAAACGTGCTGGATAAGTTGCCGGTTCATTCCACTGTGGCGACCCCCAGATAAATAAAAGAACTAAGCCGACAAGAAAATGAGAAAATGAATGTAAGTTTGACACCCAGTGGTTAAACTAGGTATTGCAGTCCTAGTTCAAAACACACGCAAGGGCAGGTTACCAGATTGACAAAACCAACAAAGGCTGATTTAAACCGTGTTCTACATAAAAACAATGGCACACTATGGAAGTAATATTTTCCATATTAAAAGGAGATTTTGTCCTAACTAACACCTGAAATTTATATTGAAACGGCTTCTATTTCTAGCAGCTGAATAACAGGACAATGACTACAGCATTGTTTTTCAGATAAACAAGAATGTTCACTTAGCATGTTTCTGCAATATTTGCACACACATTATGGTATTTATATGCTTTAGACGAGTCAAAAACGTACATACAGCACCTTTTATTGATTTAATTGCTATTGCTAATAATTAGCTACTGTTTGATTTAAAAAAAAAAACAACCAACCTTAATATATTTTTTTAAAACACGTTAAGCACTATAAAATGGACAAATAAATAGTGAGCAGCAAAGTACCATTGTTAAGATAATTATTAAACTAAAAATACAAAGACAAAACAACTAGTATCGGCATCAAATCAAATGAACTAAATCTACTTTATATCAATTATAAAAGCAAGTTAAATGCAAATAAAGTGTTGATCTTTGTCAAAATGTGAATAAAACAATCATCATCGTCATCCAGAGTAGAAGATACATTTCTAAAAAATATTAAACAACATAGACTATACATCAAATATAAAAGAATGAGTGCTCATACAAAAGTGTACATTATTTGAATTTATAATAATTTAAGTAATTCCGATAATGGTGCTAATATTCAACATAGCAGTGAATTAATTATTCAGTGTTGTAGCGCTACATTTTTTATAATCTAAAATATTAATAAAATTAAAAACTGTGTTCTAAGACTGTATCAATTTACTCTGATGGTCCCTTTTACATATTGTTTGACTATAAATTACATTGCCAATTAATTATTATTAGAGTGCGGACTATCTGCTTAAAGGCGCAGTATGTCATTTTCCCCACTAGAGGGTGCACATATTCACAACAAACAAAAGAGTAGTTTGATGACTTGTGTGTGTGGAATCATGGAAGTTATAGTCTCCACTACATCCTACAGGACTCCAGCAGAACTCATGTTAAAGGATGATTAAAGTATTTAACGCTTATTATCATAGTAGAATGAGTAAGACTGAAAGCAGAACGAGGAAAACTGTAAAGTAATTGCTGGTAAGAGACGAGCACTTTTATTATGCCACACTCCACCACTTCCTGTTATTCAGCTCGTGATCATGTGGAGGAGAACGGAGCTGTTTTATTAGACTGAACAGTTTAGGAGTCTGTTATAACGCTGCTCTGTGCAGTCCAATAAAACATAATGCCTGGCTTTTCCTTGTTTTCTATAAAAACCAAACCAGAAATCGAGGGTGTGTGGCATCACACAGCACAAACTCCATCTCACTAGTTAAAATAGCTAATTTCTCCGTAATTAAACAGTCTTCAAAATATTTGGGATATTTTAAGTACAATAAAACTATTCTATTTTTTTTTTATTTTAATGCAGTGTTTTTATTAAACCATAAGAATTATCATATTTTATCCATACACTACTGAAGGGAACAAATAGTTGTTTATAGTTACTATATACTATATAGTTACTATAGTAGCTTATAGTTACTAATTCTATTGTACTGCGGCTCCTGAGGTAATTACATTACATTAAAGACACAGCCATAGAGTCAGATGCAGCACATTGATTTTATACCACCAGGTTAAACTTTCTGGCACATTTACAGCACTGACATACATTACATTTTATTTTTTACGAAGAATAGACTGGGGTATATAGTGTGCGTGCGCCATGGCATTTATAACCACTGTGATTATAACTACCTCAGAGGATATTGGGGGTCATGAGTCACTGGCATTGTCATTTTGGGGGTCGCGGGCTGAAAAGTTTGGGAATGATAGGGCCCATAAACTGTAAACATATCCCTTCATTCTGATTGGCTGATTGGAATGTTGTTCCAGGATCAACATAGATGTTAATCCAGGAAGATGTCTCACTTGGTGAAATCAGGTTCGTTATGTTTGTGGCTGTTTTTGCCCATTGACTTCGATTATAACAACATATTTTGATTGCAAAAATAATTTGGGACAAAAACAGCCATCCAACCTGAATTTTTATTTTTTTTTTAATTTCAAAGCATTTTCCTAAAATATGTATAAAAATCAGATTTGTTACCAAAAATCATTTGCTGAAACACAGATAAAGTTACGGCCAAATTACGACTCAAAATCACCCCAAAGTGGATGAAACAACCCAACAGCACACAAAGGTAAAGGTTAATTCTTAAGATATTTTTTTTCTGATTGACTATGGAACAAACCACTATTATCCAACAACTAGTTAACCTAATTAACCTAGCTATGCATTTAAATCGCACTTTAAACTCAATACTAGTATCTTGCAAAATAACTGGTATAATATGTCATCATGGCTAATTAAAATTAGTTATTGAAACTATTATGTTTAATAATGTGCTAAAAACCAAAGAACACAAAGCTTTCATTTCAGCTCAGGTAGTAAATTATTCGGTCGTTCAGCACAAAAGTTCACATCATGGGCTTGACATCGTTGGACCGACTTCAGCTCGATATCATCACCCTGACCCGACCCATTTGATGAACTGCTGGATTCCTCCAGCAGATACTCCCTCGGAGTCTTAAACGCATTTCTTAACCGTTTCCAGACTTTTTTGTTTAGAAACATGTACAACAGGGGGTTTACGAGCACATGCGTGAAGGCAATGGACTCGGTCACCTGAATGGCGAAGTCAAACTGTATGTTAGTGGTGCAAGCGTAAAAAAAGTGAAGGTCTTGCAAGGCATGCAGGAAAATGACAACGCTGTAGGGGAACCAGAGGAGAAAAAACATCACGGTGAATCCGGTTTCCAGTCGAAACCTCTGGAATCTGCTTCTTCCCACAACAACACTGCAATATCGTATCCAACAGAAAACAAGCACGAGAAACGGTATGACGAACCCAAGCAGGGTCATCTGAAACCTCGTGTAGACTTTCCAACCGAACCCATCATTGAAATGATAAGTGCAAACGATCTTCTCGTGGAATTTTTGCAACTCCACAAAGCTGACATGAACAGCCGCAGCCAAAATTGAGAAAAGCCACACGATGGCACACAAAACGCCGTTCCTCTTTGAACTTCTGAAGATCCTGAGGGTGGAATCAACGCGTGCGTCGTCCAAAAATCTCTGCAAGCTCAGACTGGCGACAAAAAGATTGCTGCTGTACAAACTAACCATGTAAACGAACGTGATCGCTTTACAGCTGTGATCGCCGAAGATCCACTCGCTGCCGGCGTAGACCGCCCAGAAAGAAAGGCTCAGTGTGAACAGGATGTCCGATATGACCATCTGAAGAGGTAAAACCATCCTCAGAGTCTTATATTTGACCAGCAACACCACAAGGGTTAAATTAGCGATAATCCCCAGCGCACAGGTAACAGAGTAGAACGTAGGTAGAAACAAATAGCTGAACTCCTTAACGTGCGTCTTCTTGCACAGTCCAAACTCCTCAAGTCCATCAGAATTGTAATAGTCCTCATACAAGCTGACGTCCTCCGGGTTTAAAACATCCATGGCTTGAATTCAAATGTTTGTTATTCACAGATTTGCTATTCAGATCTGGCTTCAGAGATTTTCCTCAAAGACAGCACTTTTTTTTTCAGTAGATTAGTGCGACACTTGCCTGGAAATCCTCTCAAGTCATTCTTTAGGACAAGACCTGTGTCCGGGAAACAGAACAAACAGTTGTTCTCTAAGCATGGAAAGAATGCATCCAGCATTTTGATACTAACACAATGAATCAGAGGAGGTAGTCCTGCAGTTTATAAAAACTGTTTTAGGGTATGCCTACATCAACAATAAGAAAGGAAATTTGCTTGACTGAGCATTGGGAGGAGCAGGAAAGGAAGAAATGACTCTCTCTCACACACACTCTCACACACACACATATTAAAAGCAGAAGTTATTGTTTTTCTGGCATGACTAGCATCTTTGTAAATCACAGATGTGACACTTAAACTGTGAGCGCGACTGAAACTAAACTAAGATGCTGTTAAACTATTGATTAATGCTATATTTGAAGAGTTTAGATGCAAAAAAAATTAAAAGTGCCTTCTGATATGTTCCTAAATTAGTTTTTCTTTCTTTTTCTTTTTCATTTTTTTCTTTAGGTGGAGTTATTTCACTTTAAAGGCAATGCAAAGAACATTATTTGGCATAAATGTGAAATTACTCAACCTATACACAGAAGCCTCAGAAAAAAATACACTGCTTTTCTTACTTAGATTTTTTTTTGTCTTGTTTCCAGTCTAAATATCTCACAATTCTTAAATCAAGAAGAACTTTCTAGACAAGCAAAACATATTGTCTTGTTTTCAGGAATAATATGCCAAAGCAAAAATAATCTGCCAATGGAGTAAGCAAAATAATCTTGTTTTTCCTTTTGACATAAGATTATTTTGCTTACCCTATTGGCAGATTATTTAGCTTGTTTTAAGGAAAAACTCACTTAATGTGGGCATGTTATTTTTTAAAGGGCACCTATGGTGAAAAAATCAAGCTGTTTGGACAGACATGTGTGTAAGTATAGTGTATATACTGTCTTATTGGGGTGAAATAAACACACCCAGTCCTTTTTTTTCAAATTTAACAACATAAAAACGGTGGACCAACTGTAGCGGTTTTCAGATCGACCGCAACTTTAAGTATGAGTGCGGTCCCCCGCCCACCAATATTGATTGACAGCTGCGCGCATTAACATGTCTCCATAGTAATGCATATAGTCATATCGACAAGACAGGACGAGTGCAAAGCAACTGGGAATAAAAGGTCTGTTCAGTTTGCTAGAATCATCAATCATCATCAGACGTGATCAAGAGTGAGTTTTACAAGTTTAACATGTTTTAAAACAGAGCACGTGTGTAATGAAGTACAGTCATTCACTTCATCAGCACAACCGCGTGTCTCTCTCACTGTCTTTCTGTGTGTGTGTGTGCGCTATGTATGTATGTGTCTGACTGTCTACGCTATGTATGTGTGTGTGTGTGTGTGTGAACTCATTGTTGCAACTCCCCAAAAAATGCATCAAATACTGTAGTAATTCTCACAAACGTTACGTGAGATCTGCTTCCTGAGGCAGCCGAGGGCGGCGATTGAGGCATGTTGCTGACAGGCACGTGGGAACGGTGGGCAGGGATGACTAGCCTTAAAGGCCCAGTGCAAAAAAACAATAACAACCTTTTCCCGGCTATAATACAGACACTTTAAACAGCTATAATAAATACTCTGATGGGTGTTTTGAGCTGAAACTTAACAGACACATTCTGGGGACACAAAAGACTTATAATAAATATGAAAAAAGGGGTAACCTTTAAAAAAAAAAAAAAAAAAAATATATATATATATATATATATATATATATATATATATATATATATATATATATATATATATATATATATATATATATATATATATATATATATTTAAAATTTATGTGCCCTTTAAAACAAGACAATATATTTTGCTTGTCTAGAAAATTCTTCTTGATTTAAGAATTGTGAGAAATTTGCACTAGAAACAAGACAAAAAAATCTAAGCAAGAAAAGCATTTTTTTTTTGCAGTGATCCCATTTTAGAAGAAGATTTCTGGTGGCACTTTGAAGTTTTTGCATTCAAACTCTTGATTTAACGTTTAAAACAAGCTGTTGAGATGAACAGTTTTATGTTAAAATGTCATTCATGCAGACATCCCAGGTCTCCCGGAAGTTGCGGGAGTATTCCTCAAATGCATAGACACTCCCGGATGCCCGATATGAATCATAATCTCCCGGAAATCGCGCGCTTCCTGCACGGTCTTTAAATATGTTGAACAGCCCTCTCTCCACCGCATCCCTCGTAGCTCTTCAGGTACGTCGCGCGCAACTCACCCCCACCGCTCTTCAGGCAATGTTATGTCACTTCGCACACACAACTCCCACCGCTCTTTGGGTACGTCTCGCGCGCACACGCCCCCCTACCAAAATACGTCGCTCACTCAATGCACCCCATCCCCCACCCCCGCTCTTCAAACACCCACTATCAACTCTGTATCCCCCGGAAATTACTTTTCCCAACTGGGATGTCTGTTCATGTGAAAGCAACCGTAATATTAATAATACTAATAAATTCTGACCTTTACTTGAACTAGATAAAATACCAAGTCATTAAAGAGCCCCTATTATACATTATAAAAGGCCATATTTTGGTTTTGGGGGTGTCCAACAAAAGGCTGATATGCATGCAAGCTCAAAAAACATGTTCATTGTCTTATAATATGCATTTATTTTTACCTAATTATCCCAAACGACTCCCATATGATTTGTTCAGTGATTTATTTGTTCCCAAACCCCTCCTTTGCGTGATGCTAATCAGCACTAATTGGTCCGATGACCAGGGCCAGACGGAATCTGCAGATATTTTTTGCTATTTCTGCAGAGAATTTTGGTAAGAATCTGCAGATTTCTGCCAAACTATTTTGGGAGTATCATAACTAAAACCTTAATATGTTAAAAAAATATATATATTTTTTTACTTTTATTTAATGTTTAAAATGCAAATCCAATTAGATTCAGTTTATTTGGTAAACAAAGCAAGTCTGTCATATAATATGTCTACTAAAAGACAGAAAATATCACTGTACAAACTGCATTGTACATAAATTAGATGAACATTTTCATATTAGCCAATAATATTACCGTACTTAATTTAAAAACGGAATAAATATAGATTTACACACATTTACTCAAGTAAATAAACAGAATTAATGATGGGCTAAAAATCTGCTGAAAATCTGCGCGCGCAAATTCCGTGTGGGCCTACCGATGACCTATTCTGTTGTGATTGATCGAATGCGTTCAGCATGAGACAGAGAGAATGCCCACCATGGTCATAAAGTAGAACAAAGTATGTGAGAGCCCAGTGCAAGAATGCAATAAAGCAATGAGGTTAAACACCAGCATATATACTATTCTGAACCCTATAATAACAATGTAATAACAATGACACAATTCCAACCCAGGCTCATTTTGAAAACGAAGTCCTGTGGACGTTTCTGGAGGTCGCAAATTATGGAGGTACGTATGGCTGCATTTCATTTTTTAAGTGAGCGCTATATGTGGCGGTATGACTCTGTTCCTTTTGGTGCTTACCGGCTGACCACTTTACTGTGGGGCTTTCCCGCCGCAACCAATTTTACCAGTTAGCTCGTCGGCGGAATTGAGAAGCAAAGAGGAATTAACCACGATGACCGGGTTCTAGTCTGGGGAAGAACAATTCCAGAAATCAGGATTAGACAAAGGATGAATCATTTATCTGACTCTGAGTCGACTAAAAGAATCTATAGTTTTAAACACGGTTCACTCTTCATCTTCGGCCTTTGTCCCGCATGGTTGCGGGGTCGGCTCTTTTTGGAACAAGTTCTCCATTTAAGACTTGTCCATAAGATAACAACATTTTTTACACCTTCCGGCCGGCCTGTCACACTTATACACTCATACATACACTATGGACAATTTAGCCTAACCAATTTACCTGTAGCATGTCTTTGGACTGTGGAGGAAACCGGAGCACCCGGAGGAAAACCACACGAACGCAGGGAGAACATGCAAACTTCACACAGAAACGCCAACTGAGCTGAGGTTCGAACCAGCGACCTTCTTGCTGTGAGGCGACAGCACTACCTACTGCGCCACTGCTTTGACCTTTCAAACATGGTTCACTATCAGCCGCTGGCTGTGGAGTTGCTGATGAAAGTGAAGAGCGGGCGGAGAGATCACAGATGAAAGTGAAGAGCCGTGGGGGGGTTTGGATTGGAGCGGGCCCTTGATAATGTCTCTGGGGCCCCCCTAAATGTATGGGCCCTTAGAATCGTCCTAACTTTACCCCCTCTAGCGGCGCCCCTGGCTGTGTTACACACTGCATGGGCGGTAATTTTCAAAAACGCAATAATAGGGGCTCTTTAAACTACATTTTATTCGGTTTTAATTGATTAAAAGACTCCTGGGTAAAAACCTATTGATTTAATATGAAGGATGATGGAGAAAAACCTTATCTATACATATTACAAATTATATATATTATAAATTATAAGATTTTTACGTATTTTTCTGTTCCAAATATGCCCGATATAATTATGTGATATTTAAACTTTAGTCTTGATCACACCATCATGATCCAAATGTATAATAGTTTTTGTTTTGCTCTGAACAAAGATAAAGCAAGACATTTTCCATAGGCAGTGAGCAAAAACAAAACCCCTTTTGTTTTTGAAGGATATAGACTTTACATCTGCCAATGTTTTGCTTACTTCCTTCAGTTTTAACGATTTTACCCTTAGGGTTGCCACATTTCCAAATAAACTGCTGAGCTCAGGGTAGAACTTTGGAACTAGTGGAATTTCCTCTGAAATACCATTCAGAAAATCATGACTGCTTGCACTTTTTTAACAACAACTACTTCTGAGTTATCAGAGACTGTGACAAAAAACATATATAAACACACACACACACACACATATATTATATATATATTCTGTTTAACATAGAATATTTTTTTTCAAAACATTTCTAAGAATAATAGTTTTAATAACTCATTTCTAAAGCCGCCTTTCCACTGCACATGACATTTGAACACGACTGTCGGAATACGCTCCCTTGTGGCAGCCGCACAGTATTTTCAGTGTTGTCGTGCACCGTGGGGGAGAAACTGATTCACACGGTGTCCGAAATAAAGGAGTGCAAAAGCAAGAGCCTTTATTCTCTGTGCGTTTACATGGTTTAACGAATGAATGAATACTAAAAACTCATAGACCGCTAACATATTGGAGGGAATGTGGGGACAACATTAAAACATATATTTTTATTACTTTCTTACTTACATTTATGAACAGAAAAGTTTATTTTTTTAATATAGAGTTTTTAGATTAAAAAAATAACCAAATAAACTCCCATTTCTCATCTCGCGCACATGGATCTGCTTGGACAAAACTGGAATACATCATATCCGGTCAGCAGGTCGCATACGGTCTAGTCGCAGAAGTTTGAAATATTTCAACGGATCCGAATTGAGCTGCGAATTTTCCGCATACGGAGATGATCGGAACTCCACGCAGCTCCCGGACTGCTCTCCATTGGAAATGAATGACTTCCGGTCTGTCGCTTGTCGTGTGCAGTGAAAAGGCGGCTTAATAACTGTTTTATTTTATCTTTGTCATGATGACAGTAAATAATATTTGACTAGATATTTTTCATGACACTTCTATACAGCTTAAAGTGGCATTTAAAAGCTAAACTAGGGTAATAGGTGAACTAGGCAGGTTAGGGTAATTAGGTAAGTTATTGTATAATGATGGATTGTTCAGTAGGCTATCAACAAAAATATATAGCTTAAGGGGGCTAATAATATCGTCCTTAAAATGGTGTTTAAAAAATTAAAAACTGCTTTAATTCTAGCCGAAATCAAACAAATAAGACTTTCTCCAGAAGAAAAAATATTATCAGACATACTGTGAAAATTCCCTTGCACTGTTAAACATCATTTGGGCAATACTTAAAGAAAAGAAATTCAAAGGGGGGCTAATAATTCTGACTTCAACTGTATATGTAGGGTGGTGCGGACGATTGGGGGGGGTCAGTTTTTTCAGTTATGTTCGGTAATATGCCTCAGTGAACCAAAGTTACATATTTAATTCAATATCTAATAATTAATATAGACTAAATTGCAGGTATATATTTATATTATTTTATGTATAATTGTGTTTATTGTAAATTCCTTCTTAAAAACTCTACTTTTTGTATTAACATTATATGTTAGGCACCTAGGGTCTGAGAGTAACGTAATTTCGTTTCTCTATATGTCCTGAACATGTGGTTGAATTGACAATAAAGCTGACTTTGACTTGACTTTGACTTAATCAAGCTTTTGTTTTTGTTTTAAGGGATATTGAGTGGTTTTCAATGACATTTCTGATATTAAATAAACGATGACATGTTTGCATACCTGCACTATTAATGGACGACCATGAAAGACTACACATGTATTTTTGTTTTACTTTTTAACTTTCATGTGTGAGCAAGTGTATAATAAAATACAAACTATGCATCTAGTTTCATGGACACCTACAGTACAAATGCCTTTTTTATTGGAAACATGTTTAGTGAACACTGTCTGTTGCTGCTCTAGATTTGCTGGTTTCAAATCGCTAAATTAATATTTTTGATACAAACATGCATTGTTAATAGTATGAACTATTATAGAGCTGGTCAAATGTTATTATTTAATTAGAGATATTATTTAAGATACAGATCAGAGCAAACTATTTCTTAACTATTAAAGGGCTATTATATATACCTGACAACACTCTTAGTTTTCCCAGGAGTCTCCAGTATTTCACACCCATCTCCCGCCACCCTCCTATTTTGTTATTTCTCCCAGAAAACCCATGTAATTAATAAATATATAAAGAAACGTATACTGATTAATATCCTGTTAGTCATCCAATGTGTCTGAATTTATTTCCACAACACTTTCGATTTACACTTCCTTTCTCCCTTTTTAGATTTGAAAAAGAACCTCACCATGTGAGTTTGGATGCATCGTAAATTTCTCCTCCTGTCATTTTTTTTTCATCCTTCTTTTTTTCGACACTTCTTGTCGACCTGCCAAATCAAAATAAAACCATGAAACGCTAGCATGGCAGTTTTTGAAAGGAAAACAAACAAAGTTGGCCCTTGGTAACCTTTGGTTTGGCCTATAAAGGGAGGGAGAATGATATGGAGTTTAATAGGGCGAATGCCTTTTACACAGATCGCCATTTCGAATTTAACGTAGGCTAACCTTTTGTTCTGTTTAATTGAGGAGCTACAAAAAGCCAGCTAAAACTAAATGTTTATAAATGAATCAGACTTTTAAATGCAAATACTGCACTTGGCAGATGACAATGCACAAGACATCAGTAAGCAAATCAAGGCAAAGGCAGGAGCAGCTCGACTAGTGTATTCAGCATTGATCTCCATTATATTATAAATGGGATTGTTTATGTTTTTACAATAAGTTCAGTATAAAATGTTAAAAATGATACTGCATCATAATTTAATATGATTTAAAGCAACGTCTAGTTATTTTTAAACATTAGCAAATAAATGAAGAAATTACACATGGCAAATTTAATGTAATACAGTTTGGTATATTTAATGTTGGCACACAGCCCTCAGTTATTTGGTTTTTGGCCCTTTATAAGAACAATTTGGCCACCCCTGGTTTACATAATGGCTGTTTACTTGTCTTTATTCCAATTGTAATATATAGTTCAATTTGACATTTTTTCTCACTTCTCATTTGCACAAGACCTTTTCCATCTTAGTGTACCCATCCATGAAGTAATGAAGTAACAAAGAATAAGTAATACAGCTTTGTATCTAGCCATTTAGCAGGAGGACACCAACAGCACTGTACAAATCTGTTTATGTAATTAAAGAATGTCTAGATCTGGCTTATTTACCGAAATAAATCTACTTTCACGAAGGAGTTCGTCGCCACAGAACACAAAAGTGTATTGAAGATACATTTAACAGGAATAAAAATAGCTGTAATCACTAAAAATCAAATATAATCTATGAAATGCTGAGCATGTTTACAATTTTAATCGTAATATTACAGGCTACAATTAACTTTTACTCGACGCTATAACATAGCTTACCTTTAGTGAACAGTTGTTTGACGTTTAACGATATTCAGTGAACTCATGAATATTCATATTCCTCCGCACACTTATAATTCGTCTCACAAAAGTGTTAAATAAGATTTCAAATAATATATATATAGCTACACAAATCTGTTTATTTATATCTCCATACAAACTGGGCGAATATCACAACGAAGTACTATTAAAATTATGATAAAACACGGGATTAGTTTGACGCCTCAAAGTGAGGGCGGACGCAGCTAACGTTACGCTATGAATATTTATAAGATAAGCCTCCGCCATAGTATTTGTTTCGTACACAAAACGCAGTGCAGTATGGGAATGAAAATGGAAGGTTTAAGGTTGGAAGGTTGACTTGCTGTTGCTGCATTCAGAAAACAACATAATGCAAAGGATGATTTTGTTTGGTGGTGCTTTGAGGGAGATTGTGGTGCGGTCAGGCGGACTTCAGGCGCACTATTTTCTATGTACAAGCAGGACTCGGATTAAAACACACTCTCAAACTCGAGCTGCCAGCAGTACAGCACACTTTAGCTGTTACAGATTACCACACAGGACTGTCCTCAATGTATCTGGACAAGACACGAGCTCATTTCTTCAAGGAATAATCACCAATGACATGAATCTTCTGGGAGAGGATTCACTGAATGCCATGTACGCTCACGTGCTCAATGTTCAAGGCAGGACACTGTACGACATCATCCTTTACAGGTAAAATTAACACACTAACTAACTAACACTATTAACATTTAATTAGCTTAAAATGTTGGGATTAAACACTATATGTAATATTGACGTGCTTTTAGAAGTGCTGGAGTTTAGTAAATTGGGTTCGTAAAATGTGGGCGTGACCTGATTCAGCATTATCTCACTGTCACACATTGATAGTTTTGTATTGACGTGAATAGATATGAAGCTGCTTTTGTACAGTTCTATTTTATATCACTAAAGTCAGTGTTATTTATGTATAATATTATGCTGATATGTCCAGTGGCTTACAAATAATGAATATGACAGAATTGTTCATCCACATAAAGCCATGGTGTGTATTAGACTAGTACACAGGTGTCAAATCTAGTTCCTGGAGGGCCGCAGCTCTGCACAGTTTAGTTCCGCAACATGAAAAATAAGAACTGCGCCTATTTTTGCCAAAAACTTTCTATAAATAAGTCACTCTGGGTAAAAAAATTGCATTGTTGATAGAAAAAAGTTTGAAAAATTTATACTTCTCATGTTTTTGGTAATTTGGTAATAATCTGTAAAGGTGTTAAGTTTTGTGTTTGCCAAAATATATAGTTTTCTAACTAGAAATGTTAACTAAGTATTTTATTCTTAATTTTATTTGCACACACACAATATATATATATATATATATATATATATATATATATATATATATATATATATATATATATATATATATAACACACATATACACACACATAAATAGAAACAAAGCTGCACAATTTTATTACGTTTTTTTACATGAATATTTAAATTTATGTACAAATTGTATCATATTCAGATGTATTTTATATCTAAATAATATAAATAAAACTTTTCTCATATATGTGTGTATTTATATATACATAATAAATATATAAACAGCATACATACACTTAAATTATTATTAAATTAAACTTTTATTTTGAATGCGATTAATCGTGATACATTTTTGTCCAGATAGAATTATTATTAATAAACTATCAGTGTTTTATGTAAATAATTGCAAAAGCAGATATATTTCATAACTAAATGGATGATTCTAAATGTTGCAATGTCTGTTAATCTCCATCTATATTGCTATGGTTGTCACTATGCCAGTTTCTTTTAGTTTTAAAGGGAACACCACATTATGAGGATAACATCCCTGAAACTGTGTGTAATTGGCCATTGGCATTCTTAGTAGCATTAGTAGCATAGAAAACATTCATTCCATTACTAAAATTTAAAACATTGACATATTTTATAATTATACATAATATTTTATTTGATCTATTTATTGCTTTTACTTTGACTTTAACCACCACCGTCCAATTGGCCCTCCGAGAAACAGTTCATTAATTTTCTTTTCGGCTTAGTCCCTTTATTAATCTGAGTTTGCCACAGCGGAATGAACCGCCAACTTATCCAGCATATGTTTTACGCAGCAGATGCCCTTCCAGCTGCAACCCATCACTGGGAAACACCCATACACTCTCATTCACACACATACACTACAGATCATTTAGCTTAATTCATCTATGGCGCATGTGTTTGGACTTGTGTGGGGAACCGGAGCACCTGGAGGAAACTCACACCAACACAGGGAGAACATGCAAACTCCACACAGAAATGCCAACTTTTTTTAATAATAAAAAAAAAAAACATTTTTAAAGGTCAAATATTATTACTTTATTTTAGACCCCCCAAAAAAAGATCTTGTTTTTTATGTTCTCCCTGTACGCATTAACGAAACTTACTTTGTTCTTCAGTTTAAAAGGAAACCCAGATGGACTCAACGGTGTACTTCTGGAGTGTGACAGCACAGTGCAGGACTCTGTTATGCAGCTTCTGAAAGTCTACAAGATACGTCGCAAAGTGAACCTCAGCGTATGTCCGAGTCTCTCGCTCTGGGCTCTGCTACCTCACAGTAAAGAAGCTGTCCTGGGAAGGCCTGATGTTACCACTACTGATAAAGTGCTGGTTTTGGAGAAAGACCCAAGAACTGAGCTCATGGGCTGGAGAATGATCACCAGCGCTCAGGACAATCCACTGGACATTGTGTCTGCTTGTCGACTGGGCAACACTGAAGAATACCACAGGCATCGCTATGAGATTGGTATTGCTTGTACATTATTATTATTTATGTAGACTGGGCTTACTTCTCAGGTCTAGCTTGTACAACCAGTGCTGTATTTCATTTCATTTTCACAGGACTGCCTGAAGGAGTCGGAGATCTTCCCCCAGGTGAGGCTCTTCCACTGGAAGCCAATCTGGTCTACATGCAGGGAATCAGCTTCAGCAAGGGCTGCTACATCGGGCAGGAGCTGACGGCCAGAACTCACCACACCGGCGTGATAAGAAAGCGTCTGATGCCTGTCAGCTTATCTGCTCCAGCCGAGAAGCTCAACCAGGGGTCAGCTCTTCAGACAGAGGGAGGAAAACCAGCAGGTAAATACAGGACAGGAGTGGACAAGCTGGGACTGAGCCTCGTACGCCTGGCTCACGCCAAAGAAACACTCCAGCTCAAATCATCTGGTGACGAGACGGTGACTGTACTAGCCTCTGTGCCCGACTGGTGGCCAAAAACCCCCCAAGAGAAATAAATCACAAACACTAGAAATGTAAGAGTGTCATATTTGAAGCCAGAACATTTACACAGAGGTACCGATTGACACCTTGAAATAAAAGAAGTTTCTTTGGGTTGATCTTCTAAAAGAGTTCACATTGCAATTGTATGGAGCCCCTTCTCGGGAACATGCAGAATATACTGACACTGAGGAAAACTGTTGAATAAAGTTACACAGATTACCACCTGTCAACAGTGTTGGGCAAGCTACTTGAAAAATGTAGTGAGCTAAGCTAAAAGCTACATGGCAAAAGTAGCTTAGCTACATCTAAGCTAATTTTACAATTTTCATTTTTTTAATTGAAGCAACTTAAATCCCAAGTCAATTATTTTAGTGATCAATAAAACTGCCAATGTAACATATGAGGCAGAATAGTTCAGTTCAGTTATTTACTGTAAATAATATGCTGTACTAAACAAACATTATGGTATATAACATCTAAAAAATAAAATAAAATAAAAAATCCAATAAAACCAGGTGTTGCCCATTTAAAATACTATAGTAATTAATAGTAAAGGGAAATTTTTTGGAATAAGCAGTATGGTGTGTGTGTGTGTATATATATACATATACATATATACATATATATATATATATATATATATATATATATATATATATATATATATATATATATAAGTATTTTCTGTTTTTGAGCACAGCATCATAAAATTAAGTTGTTGCATCTTAACGTACTTCTCGAGGTATGGTCACGAGCAGGGCCGGAGCAAGCTGAACTGCCGCTCTAGGCAGAGGACGATCACGCCGCCCTCAACCCCAATGTGAAAACGAAAGTGACCGGTTATGAAAATGAAGTGAGGTGTCGCGGACCTTTATTCTGCCGCCCTATGCGCGGATATAACTGAGGACGCGCGGGTTCTGAGGGAGGGAGGTGTCGCCGACGTTGCTCTCTCTATTCTGCCGCCCTATGCAAGGAAATAACTGAGGACGCGCGGGTGTCGCGGACCTCTATTCTGCCACCCTATGCGCGGATATAACTGAGGACGCGCGGGTGCTGAGGGAGAGAGGGAGGTGTTGCTGACGCTGCCCTCTCTATTCTGTCGCCAATGCGCGAATATATCTGAGGACGCGGGTGGTGAGGGAGGTGTCATGGACATAACTGAGGACGCAGGTGGTAGGGGGGTGTTGCGGACGTCGCCCTCTCTATACTGCCGCCCCAGGCGGCCGCCTAGGTCGCCTCTATGAATGCGCCGGCCCTGGTCACGAGGAATCCTGCTTCAGAAATAATTCCTCTCTCTCAGTAACGCACAAAACTTGTTGTCGAAGAAGAAGAAATCAACATTCTCTCATTCATATGGATTTACTTTCATCGGCTAGATATTGGCCTAACAGCTCTGTGAATGTCGGTGCCGTCACTTATTGATCCGCGATTTGTAAATGTAGCTTGTGTGGACGCCACTGCGCTACTTGACTAATAAAATAGCTTCGCTACTGAAAAGCTATTTGATTTAGAAAGTAGTGACGCTACCGTCACGCTACTGAGAAATGTATTTAAGCTAGTAGCATCACTACTTGGAGCGACGCTACTGCCCAACACTGCCTGGCAATAACTTTTTTTCCATGGGACTCTGGCATGAATAGGCAGAGTGATCTGTGTCTTTACTATAGCTTCAACAAACTTAGTTGGTGAAAAGACGCACAACCAAAAGGAACCCACCAACAGTATCTGAGGTTTTCACTAAAATTACTAAGTACAAGTGTGAAAGCGAGAGATTGAAGCAGTCTACTGATGCTGTGACACATTACCTGAAAGACTCAAAAGACTGAAGAGTTGTTAGATGGAGACAAGATTAATAAATATCACCTTTAACAATTATAGTGAGACGTGATTCAGCTGTACATCCTTGATAAACTGTCCAACGTGCACTGCTTTCTGGGCTGACTGCTGGAGCTCAGATGCTGCAGTGCATGACAGAGTGTGTGTGCTCACGTGATGTGCGTTTTCAGTGGTATAGTGTGGAAAGAGGGCTTTATAGAAATGGTAGATGAAATGCCAGTGTGTGGATGTGGATTGTTTTTTGTTCTCAAATGCCATTTTAAAACTAAGACGTATTGTAAATGGGGCTTGAGTGTGTATTTTTCAGGAGCAGGTTTCTGCTGCGACGAAGGAGGGGCGGAGGATCGCGTCTATCTACCCAACCTTAAAACATACAGTCTCAAGGCTGATTTATACTTCTGCGTCAAGCGCATGCGTATGCTATGACGCAGCATACAAGTTGACGCATAGCCCTACGGCGTAGCCGTAGCTGATGTGCACCTCTCAAAAAATTTAACTACACGTCGAAACGACACGTAGCGCAAGCTCTGTGAATGGTCGGCTTGGTAGCGCTGACAAATCTGGGCGGGACCGAGAGCCGCGCTAGCCCAATGGAGCGATTGTTTACAAGTGTGGAGTCCCGTAAAGGAGCTTCGGATGGAAAGTTTTGTTTTGTGTTTACCTCATAGTTAAAGTTATTGCACGTCCGCTGGTTCCTGCCTCAAAATGAGCGAGTTTGAGCCACTTGTACATTCAGGAAGTGTTCGGAAAAGTCAAAGCACCAGCGAAAAAACTCGACAGAAGTATAAATAAACAGTGCGCAGAAGTATAAATGCACAGCTACGCAGGTTGCATGCGCCGTGGGTTACGCCGGTGACTTGACGCAGAAGTATAAACCAGGCTTCATCCAGCAGTTAAAGTATATTTACATTATAGTTAGTATATTAGTTTTGCAGTAGTTAATTATGACAAGACCAATAAACTCTTTAGTTAAAATAAGTTAAACACAACAAATATATTGTTCAACTTTCCCAGTTTATTGAGCACATTCCTCTTCTTAAATACTTAATCATGCATCATAATATGCGTCATTAATAACAAATTCAATAAAATCCACAGACTGAATCCATAATTAAGTAACACAAATGTGTTGTTAAAAGCTTTTATTAACTTATTCAATTCATACGATTGTTCGAATGGCTTCTCTGATCTCCTGAAGCAGATCCTCGGGTTTGAAGCTGAGAGTTGCAGGGTCCAGTCTCTTAAAGTCTTCGTTGTTAAGCATGATCTCAAATATATGCAGAACTCTCTGGAGGTCGAAGGCGGCGTGATGAGGGCCTAATGCGCACAGGCTTTCCGCAAGGAGATCTTGGCAGCTGTCTGCATTTCTGGGACTTGAGTTCAAAAAGGATATCCGATTATTCGCGATAGTCTTGAGGAAAGAGGCGAACTCGGCATAATCGATTCCTGTGCATGATTTCATGATCACCTGAAACAAATAAGAAAACATGCCAAAAACCCTACTTGATTATTACTTTGTTTATTACTTAACATTAAAGACACATCATGACATGTATTAGTTTATCCATGCCATATATTTGAACCCTCTGGTGTTCCTTAGTTATGAATTACACTTCGCGGTCAAGAAGGGACAAACACCCGTAAAGTCCCCTGTTTTTTTGTTTGTAAATTCAATCAAATTAATTTTTGTTTTAAAATATTTTTTCTATATAATTTTGAATTTTGAGAGGGTTTTGTGGTAATAATGAATATTTATGCAGTAACTAACATCCATTTTTCCCCATTGAAAACAATGGAATTTTATTTTTTTTTATTTTTTTTTTGTTATTGCAATATTTCCAGGTAAAATAAAGACTCTGCCATTCAAACACAATTACTTTTTGGGGAGTAACTCAATATTGTAATGTGTTATTTTCATAAGTAACTTTCCCTAACACTGGTTACCTGACTGTGGTTCATTAGTTATGAATCACACTTTTGGTCTTCGCGGTCAAGAAGGGACAAACACCCGTAAAGTCCCCTGTTTTTTTGTTTGTAAATTCAATCAAATTAATTTTTGTTTTAAAATATTTTTTTAATATCATTTTGAATTTTGAGAGGGTTTTGTGGTAATAATGAATATTTATGCAGTAATTAACATCCATTTTCCCCCCATTGAAAACAATGGAATTTTAATTTTTTTCTTTTTTTTTTTTTTTTGTTATTGCAATATTTCCAGGTAAAATAAAGACTCTGCCATTAAAACACAATTACTTTTGGGGAGTAACTCAATATTGTAATGTGTTATTTTCATAAGTAACTTTCCTCAACACTGGTTACCTGACAGTGGTTCCTTAGTTATGAATCACACTTTTTGCCTTCGTGGTCAAGAAGGAACAAACACCCGTAAAGTCCCCTGTTTTTTTGTTTGTAAATTCAATCAAATTAATTGTTGTTTTAAAATAATTTTTCTATATCATTTTAAATTTTGAGAGGGTTTTGTGGTAATAATGAATATTTATGCAGTAATTAACATCCATTTTCCACTATTAAAAACAATAGAATTTTCATTTAAAATTTTTTTTTTAGTTATTGCAATATTTCCAGGTAAAATAAAGACTCTGCCATTCAAACACGATTACTTTTTGGGGAGTAACTCAATATTGTAATGTGTTATTTTCAAAAGTAACTTTCCCCAACACTGGTTACCTGACAGTGCTGATGCCAGGTGTCCATAGTATCGCGCCATTCCTCGATTTCCCTCTGGACGGAAGAAAGCTCATCTTGCAGAAACTGCCACATGATGTCCAAATTACAGCCGTTCAGCCAGTTATGATTGATTGAAATGGTGTCCTCCTATTGATGAGAGAGGCGATATGGAAACTAGGTTAGCAGACTGGTCTAAGATATAGGAATAGTCATAAAATTGATGCCGAAAAAAATCAAAGCAAGATATAATTTGATATTTTTTTTGTTCGATTGATGTGAAGTCAAGTTAAACTGTGGGTCCCACAGCACTGTATATTTTTATTTTGTTTGTCTACCATATCTGATACTAAATTCAGTTCTCACAGCTTTCTGGAAAAGACCTGAGGCCTGTTAAGCAAAGCCTTTTTTTAGCCAGGTAAGTTTTAGTTTAGTTTGAACGAACTCTGAGTATTTGGTTGGTTTTGGTCAGGTTTCGGCAGGGTTGTCTCATCCCTATATGATTACAGTAGGAGTTTGATTCACATTGCTGACAATAACTTGTTTCCAGTGCATCTTGGCCTCCGGCAGGGCTTTCCTTTGTCACCAATTCTGTTCAAAATTTTTATGGACAGAATTTCAAAGCGCAGCCTTGGGCTGGAGGGGGTCCGGTTCATGGACGACAGGACTTTATCTCTGTTATTCGCTGACAATGTTGTTCTGTTGGCTTCATCGAACGTGGAACTGCATGCACTGGGGTGGTTTGCTGCCAAGTGTGACGTGGCTGGGATGAGAATCAGCACCTCCAAGTCCGAGGCCATGGTGCTCCACAGGAACAAGGTGGTTTGCCATCTCCAGGTCGGAGGAAAGTCCTTACCCCAGGCGAAGGAGATTAAGTATCTTAAGGTTTAGTACATGAGTGAGGGAAGGATGGAACATGAGATAGACAGGCGGATGCAGCAGTCGATGTACCAGTCCGTTGTGGTAAAGAAGGAGCTGAGCTGAAAGGCAAAACTCTCGCGAATTACTGACCAATCTACGTTCCTACTCTCACCTACGGTCATGAGCTTTGGGTCATCTCGAAAAGAAGCGGGCGAAAAGAATTTCGGACAGGGTGAGGAGCTGTGACACCAGGGAGGAGCTCGGAGTAGAGCCGCTTCTCCTCCACATCGAGAGAAGTCAGGTGAGGTGGCTCTGGCATCTGTTTCGAATGCCTACTGTACACCTACCTTGGGAGGTGTTATAGGCTTTCCCACCGAGAGGAGACATCTGGGAAGACCCAGCACACACTGAAGGGACAATGTCTCTCAGCTGGCCTGGGAATGCCTCAGGAGGAGCTAGAGGAAGTGTCTGGGGAAAGGGAAGTCTGGGGTTCTCTTCTAAGACTACGCAACCTAGCCCCGGAAAAGGGGATGAAAATGAGACAATATATTGGGGTTGGACAATGAAACTGAAACACCTGGATTTAGACTACAATAAAACAGGGTTTTAGCGTTTAGCTTTAACCCTAAATAAACACCCCTTTCAAACTAATTGAGTCCTTCAGGCCTGTTTGAGATCTACAGGTAATTTGAAGCAGGGTTACAACTGCCCTCCAGGAACTGAGTTTGACAACCCTGATCTTGTCTGTTTTTTATTCATAAGTGCCTTTAAATTGTCTAAATAAGAAGCAAATTACTAATCAATTTTATTTATATATTATAAAAAAAAAAAAATAAAAAAAAAAAATATATATATATATATATATATATATATGTATGTGTGTGTGTGTGTGTATATATATATGTATATATATGTATATATATATATGTATATATATATATATATATATATGTATATATATATATATATATATATGTATATATATATGTATATATATATATATATATTTATTTAAAGTAGGACATGTCTATATATAATATAATATAATCTTTACTTAATATTTTAATAAAAAAATCAATAACTCTGACCCTTACAATGTATCTTTGCCTATTGCCAAGTGCCTGTTGCCTAGTGCACCTATGGTGAGTGTGATTTTACCAAGTCCTAGACATCTATTTTGATTCTGGCATGTCATTTTTTTGCTCAAAATCCATCCTAATCCCAATCCCTAATCCCAAACCTAACTGTAAATTATTCCCAAAATCAGAGAGGAATATTAGTTGGGACCATAACTGTAGGAATAAACTTAACATAAACTATAAACTTATCTCTTTAATCTGATTGAAATGTTGTTCCTGGATCAATTATCTCTAACTCCAAACACACTAGCCGTGCACCAACACGTTTTTAGCATACTTGCCTCAATCAGGGTGGTTCACTTTTAAAATCCCTTATCCACAGAGCACCGATACATATATTACCCCTGAAGCACCTTGTGTTTGATTTCAGCCTTGTAGATGGTCTTCGAGATTTAGAGTAACAGAAGAACATTATTTTTGTTGGATCCCCCATTGCTTGAAAGAATATTAAGCATCTGACAATGTGGTAAAGCAAACATGCTTGCGTCCTTAAGAGAGCAGTCGGAAAGCTTGAAGAAAACAAAACTGCCTGCTGAAATGAGCTGAATCAAATTGAGGAACGTCACACTGGTACTAAAACTCAATCAATACTAAACTAGCACTCTTGAGCAACACTAATTTGCTTTACACTTGAATTGTTGCTATGATTCCTTTTATTATTGTCTTGATTTTCCTTTGTGAAGCTGATTTGACTACTTAACCTGGTGGCATTAAAGTTCGTCAGCCCCATTTCCTCCTGCTGCTATGATGGCGCAAAGAGCAAAAGGTCATCTAAACAATCGAATGTTTGCTATGTTGGAATCAGAGCTGCCTCTTAGACATTTCCTGTGTAAAATAAAACTAACAGGGTTTTTAAATACTTGATGACCCTGTCCTGATAAGCCAACAAGAGAAATTTCCTGCATGCTGCAAGTATGTCTATGTGGAACGAGCATCAGTTCCTGTTCATGTTGTGGGACGTAAAGCATATTATAATACTAAGTATAGCTTTATAAATGTACATACGTTTAAAAAAAATCTAAATATGTAAAACTTTCAAGGATTTAAGATTCGGATGACCATTAAAGGGTCACGAAACACCAAAACACATTTTCTGAGCTGTTGTATATGTGTCCCATGCTGCTAAAAACTCTATTAGGACACCTATATCTCACTAAAAAGTGAAAATTGGTTGTTTTTGTGTTATTTCGAGCAAATTCGTTCTTTCGGTTTGAAACTAATTTTTGAAGCTGCGTCACGGCCATGAGATCTTAGCGTGTATTCCAGCTTGTAGACTAGACATCTGTACCTGGGAGTCCCATATTACGTCTCTGAGTGTGTTGCATTGATTCATGAGTATGGCTTGGTTCAAACCAATCAGCGCGCTCTATTGTGCAACTTCATTAATATTCATTAATGTTACAGTGTTCAGACGGCAGAGACGCCACTTTGTGTTGCTAAAACAAGCGTGCAGTGTTTGCTGCAGTGAAGGTTTTGTTTTCGTTTTCTCTCTATGAGAGCGCAGCTGGACTCACGTGTGGATTACAGTGCACGTGACGCGCGACAACAATACGTGTCTAAGGAACATTGTTTACCTGAGAGCTTTTCTCACCTGGAAATGGTGAGATCTGGATTTGCTGCTCGTCTCCTCTTAATAAAGACGCGGTTCTAGTTGCTGGTGATTGTCCTGACTCTACAGATTTGGTAAGTCAGGGACCAGTGCTCTTTGTTTATTCAGTTTGTTCGTATCGAACTAACTATTACAAAGAGTGTAAACATGTTAGCACAATCAAACTTACCGTCATGTAGGATTTTCACCGCATTTTGTGACCGGAATAAAACACATGGCTTTCGGACGCTACCTGCCTAGAGCATCTAAGTTTCCGGGAAATGCGGAGGGTTTTTTTTTCTCATTCGCCATGCGGTAACAAACATTGCATGAAAAATACACTCTTAGAGCAGTTTTTTGAATCAAATATCTCGTTTGTCACAAGGGGCATGAATGAATTCCCTGAATGAAAGAGCCAAACTGCAGTTAAAGTCCACCGTTTGATAATTTGTCAAATAATTTGATTACTTATGTACATGTAAACACTTTCTCCCCTGTGTGTGTGTGTGTGTGTGTTTTGACTCTGAAAATCAGCGCGTGCCCAAATCGACACTCCCATTTTTATGCAAATTTTTACAGACCCTCCCTTTTTTGCTCCTCCGACACTCCCCCCTAAACAGAGATGGACACGCCCACTTTCCTGACTTCTTCCAAAGTACAGGTGTGAAAACACCCTGCTGAAACAAGAAGGTTTCATGGCCCTTTAAACATGTTTTCACTGTCCTGTGAAAAGGGTCCATTACATTTCTGTATGGGTATGTTAACTCTAACGCTTTAAAATATGCTCAATCAGAGTAAACATACACATTAAAATCCACGATCCAGAGGTAATTTAGCAAGGGAACTTCAAGTCAAGTGTGTTTGTGAAGTTAAACTACATGACATTTACCCTCTAAGATACCCACTAAACACCCTGTTCTAGTGCATCATCATTCAGCAAATATTACTCACCAAATTATAAACTTGATGATGCCAACCGCTAGGCACGAAGATGATCTCTCCAGCTTCTTGAATGATCTCTAAAGGCTGACAGGCCTCTTCAAACTGGGCGTACAGACCCTTGTCTTGAAGAATGGGTGCAGTTACATCATAGGCCAAGTTGCCATGGCAGTCCCGAAGGAAGTCCTCTTGGCCTGGAGGGTACAGCAGCCATTTTTTACGGCCACAAATGTTAGCAGACCAACTGTAAGAGCGAAATACGTCCGCATGGAAAGGTGTCCTGGACAAAAGAACAAAACAAATTCAGCGTGTGACAATCGAAAGGGAGAAAGCAATATATAACCAACTATAAACTTTTATATAAACTGTAATATGGTGAGGAGTGCTCAAGCTACAGGGGTTGGTCAATAAAACCAGATATGTTCATCGGAAGCACCACAGGGTCAATATACATGGCTGGGCTGCTATAGCCAAACCTTTGGTCACTTGTGCCAGAGCCAAACGTCAGTTTCAGTGATGCCAGCAGTGAAAATCTTGGGCTGTGGACAATGTCAAACATGTATTGTTTTCTGAGGAGTCCACTTTCACTGTCTTTCCCACATCCAGGAGAGTTATGGTGTGGAGAAGCCCCAAAGAAGCGTACCGTGCTGACTATTGCATGCCCAGAGTGAAGCATGGGGGGGATCAGTGATGACTTGGACTGCAATATCATGGTCTTCCCTATGCCCAATACTTGTTCTACATGGGTGCATCACTGCCAAGGACTACCAAACCTTTCAGGAGGACCCTATGGTTCAAACACTGAACATCTTGAAGGCGGTGCCTTGTTTCAGGATGATAATGCACCAATACACACAGTAAGACTGGTGACAGAGTAGTTTGATTAACATGAAAGTGAAGTTATACATCTCCCATGGCCTGCACAGTCACCAGATATAAATATTATTAAGCCACTTTGAATTGTTTTGGAGGAGCGATTCAGGAAAGGTTTTCCTCCACCAGCATCACGTAGAGACCTGAACACTATATAAACTCATGCTGTATTGGCCTCAAAAAGTAGTCCCTAGACCATACTAATGAACTATTGTGGTCTAAAACCAGGCGTTTCCGTTTCATTGTCCAACCCCTGAACTCTCATAAATAAAGGAACTAACTTTACTAGAGCTGTCACCTTTTCAAAAGGTACATGTTTGTAAGTAAAGGGTCCTTATTAATGCCTCAAGGGTCCATACTAGTACCTAAAAAGTACAAAAAATGTGTACTTATTTAAATTTTTAAATACTAATATATACTACTGAGGTACCAATATGGAGTACAAACGTGCACCTTTAAAAAAGATACCACCCCAGTGACCCAGTGGATTTTTACACATACACCGAGAACTGTCTGACCAGGCTGTAGATTAAAGATTGTAAAAATTGTATACACTACCATGATCCTTTAGGTCCCATATAGACAAACCGATAATCATCCACTTCAATAGTGTCCCAATATTCATTCAGCCAATCAGAGGAGAAGTATATTGGGGTCTTATAAATATTATGCTCAGGAAAGTTCCTAAAATAAGCATAAACACACATATAATTATAAACTATATATATATATATATATATATATATATATATATATATATCAGGGGTGTCAAACTCAATTCCTGGAGAGCCGAAGCCCTGCACAGTTTAGTATTTATGCACTTGCACACTCAACAGGATAGTACATGTATGTAGTGTCGTCCCAAATGGCACACTAATGTTTTTTTACTAAGCGGAAATTCAAACCGTTTCCCTGATGACGTTTGACGGTCGCCAAATAAGTGAAATAAACGACCGAATTATCAAATAATACCTGCCGTGAGTGTTGCCGAATTCACTATTGGGAAGCGCTATAATCACTCTCGTAGGAGAATTTTGCTTTCACCATCCAAAATAAATAAAGTTATCCAACATGTGCGCCTGATAGCTCCGCCCCTTCCGCTACGCAAGCAAACCTGCGGTCGTTGAGTGCGTGAAGTGTCCATCATTACACACTTCAATTTAGCGGCTGAATGAGTGCATCATCCGGGTAATTAAAGTGCACTTATTATTTTTAGAGTTTTCAGTGTGAACACACTACTTACACTATTTATACTACAAAATGGCGTAGAATAGTGCATAAGTATGCGATTTGGGACGCAGCTCTAGTCTAATTTTATGTGCTGTCATCATGGCAAAGATTAAAGAAATCAGTTATTATAAATTAGTAATTAAAACTATTATGTGTAGAAATGTGTTGAAAAAATAATAATTCTGACTTCAACTTTTTAAATATACTGTTCCTTTATATTATTACTGTTTCCAAAAGTTTCACATTCAAAACTACTACTTCTTATACAACAAAATGAGCTATGACAGAGCTCTACCTTTGCATGTGCCAGTCTTTTAAATAAAGACATCCTTTTGGCGAAGAATGCCCATTCTGTATGCTTTCTCTCCAGTATTGGATGAACTCCTTAAAAGGCATGATCTGCTTCGGGTTGGCGTTGTATTCTTTTACACTGCAGTTTGCGACAGGAACCGGAGTCTCATCTGCAGGACAAAGTGTTAACAGTTCAGCATACAGTATATACTGTAAGAGGATGCAGTTTGTTTAATCGCTTTATTAATAGTTACAAGAGATCAACCTGTGAATGTTAGCACACCACCAATACATAACAACATTATCGGTAACACCTTACTGGATGGGTGTTTATAAGACTGTCATGGATATTATAAAATCATGACATGACACATGCCGTGTACAATGGGAGAAAACAGTATTCAACACGTCATTTTTTTTTCCTGGGAATAATATTTCTAAAGGAGCTGTTGACATGGAACTGAACCAGATTTTGGTAAAAAACAAAACAACGAAAATCTGAAAATGAGTTGTGTGTATTAACAATGAAATGACACAAGGAGAAAGCGCTGAACAACTAAAAGGTATTTAATTTTTTTTTAATGATGGCAGCATAAAGACGCCTCAGATTGGCCAGTTGGCGTTTCTGTGTGGAGTTTGCATGTTCTGCCAATGTTCACGTGGGTTTCCAGCACCTAATAACCACGATTAATTACATTGATATATATATATTGTATGTACTTTTCCACATTTCAATCCATTGTGCTATTTAAAAAAATAAAAAATAAATAAAAATTGATGAGCACTTTAGAACATAGGGGATAGTTTACCCCAAAATGATTAAAAAATACATTTAAAAAAGTTTGGTTATTCGATAAAGTATGCTTTTAAATTTGGTCTCTTTCGACCTAAAGTTGATATCTTAAGAAATGAGCTAACAGTAAGATTTTGTTTGGGTGTAGTACCAAACTTTCATGACCAGTCGTTCATGATATTTCATGTGCATTGCTATTGTTTTACAGTCATTGGATTGTCGTTTAAGCTTTGAAAATATGTCTATAAAAATCTGACTTAAAAAATGAAGTTGTCCTAAATTTCAAATGTTCAATTATCAAGATAAGAAATACAAATTCAAAACATTTCTAATAGGACATAATCAATCAGTATTATTAAATTACAACTGTTAATGATTCAATTTAACTCAATTCAAATTCAGATTGTTTTGGCTTATTTTTAGCTCCATAAATGCGCGCATGCGCTGAACATTTTGCAATGAAAACTATATATTTTGTATAACTACAAAATATATGTTGAGGTCACAGAGACAAAATTGTGCACATATGCAACCAAAACAGTCACAATTTTAAGCCCTACAAATTCAAGCAGGTTCAAGCACTTTGTCCAAAATCCAAGCACTTTTCTAACCTTGAAAACACTATTAAAAATCAAGCATTTTCCAGGATTTCCAGCACCCGTACCCTGAGTTCTGTAATAAGCAGTCATTATCAAACATCCCATCACGAGAGTCCTATGGCTTACCTTATATTTACAGTTGGAATGTAGAATTTAAATACAGAATAATACTTAAATTAATGATAAGATTGACATGTTTTGCTTACCAAATTCATGCAGAAGTCTTTGCAAATTAGGTTTTCCTTCAGCCGTCACCCATTTTTTCCTGCAGTTCCATTCTTCTGTGAATTTTTTGGAGAACATGCATGGCTGATTCGGGATCAGGTAGTTCTTGAAGAATTTGGAGTAGGGTATTTCTCTTTCTATGTACTCGATGAAATGAGAGGAGCAGTGCTGTTGGTGGATCTGCCTGGGCAGTTTGACCAAGCTGGAGCAGCTATGAAAGGTTTCCCTATCCATGGCATTTCAATATGCAGTTTAGTCTTGTGTGTTCGGTTTCATTAACATGTTATTTCAGAAAAAAATACTATATAAAATTATATAATATTTTAATTCAACGACAAAAAAATAATATCAGCATAGGGTCGAATACATTTCAACAGCCTCATGTCTCTCGGATGACAGGCTTGCTTGGTTATTGTTATGTTGTGGAAGTGCTACTAATAATTCGACGGTCCAACGTCACGCTTAACGTTATGCATTATTAAAATATAATTACGAAGCCACTGTCGCTTTATACATGTTTATAGATCAAAAATAACAGTGTTTTTTTCAGCGCCAGCTTCACTTGGAACATTGCTATCCAGTTGCCCACCGGAAAAAATACCGTGTGCACACCAGCTCGGTGATATCCTCGTACGGAATAAGTTGTGTGAAAAAATAAATAATGTAAATTAAATACTTGTTAATTCACTATAAAACGAATTTCTGACGTACTTAACTAGACAAATAGTACATACTGTCCCGTCAAATTTAGAGCGGAATCTTTAATCATGGCTGTTGTTGTGTATCGGAGTGTAAACATGAGCGCACCAAACATTCACCCTTTGCTTGGGCTGTTTACATCGCTATAACACAGCAGCGAACTATAATCTGATATTTGCTGATATTTCTTCTGATTTGGCGTTTTAATTAGATGTAGCAGGAAACACTAAAGTAGTGCAGCAAATGTCTCGCATCCGAGAACAATTTGCCTCGCTGCAAACATATCAAATCAACTCAACTTTACAATGTGAAGGGATATTGTTTATCCCAATGCGTACTTTACGTCACACCTTGCTGTAGCTGCCACTTTCAATTCTGAAGACATCCTAAAAGGTATGAAATATTTCATTTCTGTGGAGGTTATTTCTGTACTTGAGCTGTTTTGATTATGATTTTAGTCGAAGCCCCTATAATATACGTGTGTGTAATAAATTGAATAGAGATTGTAATTATATATATATATATATATATATATATATATATATATATATATATATATATATATATATATATGTATGTATGTATATATATATAGTTAAAAGCTCATGTATATATATATATATATATATATATATATATATATATATATATATATATATATATATATATATATGTGTGTGTGTGTGTGTGTGTGTGTGTGTGTGTGTGTGTGTGTGTGTATGTATGTATGTAGGTTTTTTTTTTACTGGCCTGATTGTAGCCAGTGGCTTTTTACTTTTTTTTACTTGCCTGCCAAAATTTTCACTGGCCCCACCAAAAAAAAAAAAAAAAAAAAAAACAAGTTAATAACTATTTCTTAGCCATTTGTTTCAAATAATGTTTAAAAAAAGTCTGTAATTTTGGATTATAAATATTTAAAAATGTCTGAGGATGTAACAAAAATAGCATAATGGAAAATGCTCACGTAGTTTATTGTGAAAAAAGGTGGCTGACTTGTAATGTTCAAATGTTATATTTCGTTACTACCGACCTCTGTGAATAGACATAACTTTTTGTAATCCGTTTATTGCAATAAACAAAAGTTCTTAGCCCTACTTCCCTTTAGTAAAGAAGTAATATATTTATAGGTGTGCGTTTTAACTTCTTATGCATCAAGTATGCGTCATATATAATTTGCAATGTTTCTAAACTACATTATCAATTATTTTTCTTACCAATTTCATCTATTTTGTTCTGTAAAGCTGCTTTTGACCATGACATGTTTATTTATTCTCTTAGGTAAGGCGAGATCTCCACTTAAGTATCATACTTTGAGGGAAAACGTGCTTTATGCATTAGCATGAAGCATCAGAATCGGTATCGGTTGATCACAATGCCAAAGAATCGGTACTCTGTATTGGCTTAAAAAATCCTGATCGGAGCATCCCTAATTTTATGGCCAATGTTATTAGCCTCCTTAAGCGGTGCATATTTTTATTGTCTGTTTCATTGCCTAATTATCCTAACTTGTCTAATTAACCTAGTTAAACCTTTAAATGTCACTTTAAGCTGAATACTAGTATCTTGAAAAATATCTAGTCACATATGTGCTGTCATCATGGCAAAGATCAAATAAATTAAGCAGAAATTGGGGGGAAAATATCCAGGGGGGCTAATAATTCTGACTTCAACTGTGTGCAAGTAGCTTTATACAAATTTACTGTTTTTAATGTTTACTTCGCAGGTGAGCCTCCGTAAGTTAGGGCATTGCCAAATCATCTCCAAAAGCATGAGTCAGGAGCCTTCAATTCATACCTGGCCTGGCTCTTATTACATCAACAGCGAGAAACGCTGGGCCAGTGGCGTTCTCTCCTTATCTCGCACCACCCTCCGCTTCGCCTCTGAGCAAAAACAGGAGAGCCTGATGAGCCTGAAGCTCTCGCGCATCATGGAGATCAAGATGGAGTCCTCCAGCATCATCTTCAGCGCTCTCACTGTGCTGGAGCAGGGAAACCTCAAGCACTGGTTTGGGTCTCTCAGGCCGTGCCGTAATGCGGTCTATCATGTTCTAGAGCACTTCTGGAGGGAGCGTCTGCTGTCTCCTTCAGAGCCACAAGGGGCTGAAGCCCCTCTCAGTAAAGGCCAGGAGCTGATCAGCCTGATTTCCGGAGCCCAGCGGAGGCTTGAGGATACTGGGAAAGTGCTGAACCACCAGGGAGAGCAGTTCGACAACATGATTCAAGGCCTGGACAAGATCGAGTCAGACCTGACCGTGGCAGATAAGTAGGTTTACAGAATTCTACATACATATTCAGCTTTGGTACTTGTAATAGAGATGTGAGTTATCGTATTTTGTTAGTAGTTCAGAAGAGGCACAAGAACTAGTCAGCATACAGTTGATGTCAGATTTATTAGAATCAAAAGAAGCTGATATGGCAACTAGATTCTTAAAGTTTGAGGACAAACTTTGAGGCAGGCTTGTGAAAGCCTGATGGTAATAGTTTATTTAGTTTAAACAGTTTTAAAAAGTATGAAAAGATGATAGATAAATAGATAGATAGATAGATAGATAGATAGATAGATAGATAGATAGATAGATAGATAGATAGATAGATAGATAGATAGATAGATAGATAGATAGATTACCATGTTACTAGCATGATTCTAGCATGAATTAGCATGTTACTAGCATGATAGATAGATAGATAGATAGATAGATAGATAGATAGATAGATAAATAGATAGATAGATAGATAGATAGATAGATAGATAGATAGATAGATAGATAGATAGATAGATAGATAGATAGATAGATATATAGATAGATACCCCCGCTTCTCTAAGATATAGCTGCTGTTAAATCGTTGCTAGGTTAGTCTGTTTTGTTGCTATGGAGTTGATTGACAGTTTAGACTGATGGTGTATCAAAGCTTCTTGCCAGTATGAACAGTTAAAAGCAACACATGTCTCTATCACACTGCAGCACGACGATATCAGTCTGAACCTCTATAATGGCAGTCTATGGGATCGTTGCTAGGGTGCCGTATCTGGTTGTTAGGGGTGTGGCTAGAAAGTTAAAAGCTCATCAGTTATTGGTAGTTTGGTAGTCTGAGTTAATTGAGCCCAGTTAAAAGTCTGTGCGACAGTTTCATGTAGAGTTATGAGCTCACAAAGTTTGACCCAATGTAAAGTCAATGAGAGTCTTTTGCAGTGGAAGTCTATGGGACAGTTTCTAGGGTCCCAAAAGTGGTTGCTAGGGTGTGGCCAGAAAGTTAAAAGCTCATCAGTTATTGGCAGTTAGGTAGTCTGAGTTAAATGAGCCCAGTTAGAAGTCTGTAGGACAATCTGATGCAGAGTTATGAGGTCACAAAGATTGGTCCAAGGTTAAGTCAATGGGATTTTTCCGACAGTCCCGGTACGTTTTTCGGAAAACCGAAAGTCGGATCAGTCGGAAAAGATATAGCAACCCGAGTCAGACCAGTTTGGAGGTCTGGTGTGAGTTTGGTGGTCATAGCTTGAAAGCTCTAGGAGGAGATAGAGTTTAATTTTTAGTCTCAGAAGAAAAATAGGATAACAATAGTCTGGCTTGCTACACAAGCCAGCCTAATAAACTCAAGAACTCTCTCTTTCTATGCAGGCTACTCTCTGAACTCGAGTGTCCGTCTTGGTGGCCTTTTAGTAAAATGCCATGGAGGAGCCATCAGGAGGCCAAGTCTGAGGCAGCTGCCAAAGCAGCCTGTACCAAAGGCTCAGGCAAGATCCAAAAAGTCATAGTCAGCATTCCAGCTATTGTCTTCCGTGACGGAAACACTGGAAACATGAAACCAGGTAGCCTGACTCTGTTGGTGTCTTCTCTGGAGGTCCGAGAAGCAAACGGGCAGCTCCTGCATTGCTTCGAGAAGGAAGAGGTGGACGATATTCATGTGTTCAACCCCTACGAGATCAGCATTCGCCAGCGCTTCATCGGAAAACCTGACATCTGCTTCCGACTTCTGTCTGCCAGGATGACCGAAGCTCTATCTGTGTTGGAGATGCAGTACAAGAAGAAGGTCGAGGTCACACGCGACTACGCTGTGTTTCGGTCGACTTCGGCAACCACACCAGAGAGCCCAGAAAGTGGAGGAAACGTTTGGGCTGCAGGTACAGTTGGGGAACATATAGCTAGTGTACATGACGTTTGTTTTCACTTACACTCACTGGCCACTTTATTAGGTACAGCACTTGTTAAGGCAACTTTCTAATCATTCAGTCACATGGCAGCAAGTCAATGCATTTAGGCATGTAGACACGGTCAAAATGATCTGCTGCAGTTCAAACCGAGCATCAGAATGGAGAAGAAAGATGTTTAAGTGACTTTGAACGTGGCGTGGTTGTTGGTGCCAAACGGGCTGGTCTGAGTATTGCAGAAACTGCTGATCTTCTGGGATTTTCACGTAAAACCATGTCTAAAGTTTACAGAGAATGGTCTGAAAAAGATTAAAATATTCAGTGAGCGGCAGTTCTGTGGGCGCAAATGCCTTTTTGATGTCAGAGGAGAATGGCCAGACTGGTTCCAGCTGATAGAAAGGCAACAGTAACTCAAATAAGCACTCGTTACAACTGAGGTCTGCAGAAGAGCATCTCTGGACGCACAACACGTCTAACCTTGAGGCAGATGGGCTACAGCAGCAGAAGACCACACCGGGTGTCACTCCTGTCAGCTAAGAACAGGAAACTGAGGCTACAATTCACACAGGCTCACCAAAACTGGACAACTTGGAGAAACGTTGCCTGCTCTGATGAGTCTCCATTTCTGTTGAAAACATTTGGATGGTCGGGTCAGAATTGGGCGTCAACAACATGAAAGCATGGATCCATCCTGCCTTGTATCAACGGTTCAGGCTGGTGGTGGTGGTGTAATGGTGTGGGGGATATTTTCTTGCCACACTTTGGGCCCAATAGTATCAACTGAGCATCGTGTCAACGCCACAGCCTACCTGAGTATTGTTGCTGACCTGTCAATCCCTTTATGAACACAGTGTACCCATCTTCAGATGGCTACTTCCAGCAGGATAACGCCTAATCATCTCAGACTGGTTTCTTGAACATGACAATGAGTTCGCTGTCTTCAAATGGCCTCCACAGTCACCAGATCTCAATCCAATAGAACATCTTTGGGATGTGGTGGAACGGGAGATTGGCATCATGGATGTGCAGCCGACAAATCTGCAGCAACTGCGTGATGCTATCAAGTAAATATGGAGCAAAATCTCTGAGGAATATTTCTAGTACCTTGTTGAAACTATGCCATAAAAGATTAAGGCAGTTCTGAAGGCAAAAGGGGTACTTGTAAGGTGTACCTAATAAAGTGGCCGGTGAGTGTATTGAAAAAAAGGCACATTATATGTGGTAAGGCATGGCTTGAGAGACTTAAATAATAGTTCAATTATATAGTTAAGTTAAAAAATATATATTTTTTTCATCTATTAAACAAGAGACTATTAACTAATAGTATTCCTTTTCATTTTACAAAAGCAGTGTGTCCAAACTCGGTCCTGGAGGGCCGGTGTCCTGAGAGACTAGCTCCAACCCTAATCAAACACACCTGAACCAGATAATCAAGCTCTTACTAGATATACTAGAAACTTCCTGCTAGCTGTGTTGTAGCAAGTTGAAGACTCTCCAGCACACCGGCCCTCCAGGACCGTCTTAAAGGATTGTTATGATATTATCTATATTTTACAGTCTATGGGTATCACACAGATTGCCCCCTAGTGGAGAATTTACAAAGCATTTCGAAATAATGACTTTTTTTTTTATTATTAACAAGAACCAGCGTGTAGTTTTCTTATACAATACAATACAATCACTTTACATTTCTTAACAAGAATGAAAGGAGGAGAGGGTACATAATTATCATAATTAAACAAATATGTTTCGATTTTCCAATTTTAGTTATTAACCAGAGTTAGTAATGCACTTTTTTTTTTTTTTACAGGAAATGCATATATACAAACATTTAATGTAAAAATGCTAAAGGAGGAGCATATATTAATTGTTTTAATTGCTTTTCTATTTTGAGAAATCACTTTTATATACATTTGAATCTCTTTTTCTAACAGCATGAAGAGAGGTTTCTTTTGGAAAACTTAGATTTATGTATGTGAAATTTACATAATAATAAAATAAAATTTATAATAAAACCAGCATCTTTTAAAGAGCGATCCTTAACATAAAAACCCAAAATCACATGTTTATAAGATAAGGAAAAGGTTTTTAAAATATTATAAGCAATAAAAGCTTCAACATTGATTCAAAATAGTCGAGTATATTGGCAAGACCAAAATAAATGTGAAACAGTTTCATTACAGCTTTCACAAAAACAGCATTCTAACTCAATATCAATTTTAAATTTTTGTAGCAATAATTTTGTGGGATAAACTCTATTAAGTAATTTAAATGATATTTCTTTAGCCTTATTTGTGATATTATTAAAGTATTATTAAAGATATTGTTCCAGTAAAAAATAACATACGGTATAGACATATTTTCTTTTAAGATCAAAGATCTAATTTTGTGATTATTAGGCTTAAATCCAGAGAAACAGATTTGTTCAGGTTTAGGAGGACACACAGTAAGTGCTGATGTACATACACTGCCTTTATACAGCATATGTATGCCGAAATAGTGACAACATAACAAAGCCCAGTTTACTGAAATCATGTGACCTGGCCAATTTGACAACCACTGATTAGAAAGAAAATATTTATGAAGATTTCATGAAGCAATTTTTCGATAGCAACCTTCACTAGTGCTCCCCATAACCCTGATGGAGCTTGAGAGGTACTGCGAAGAAGAATCGGAGCAACTGCCTAAAAATAGGTGTGCCAAGCTCATAGCATCTCACTCAAAAATGAGGCTGTGATTGTTACCAAAGATGCTTCAACAAGGTCTTGAGCAGAGGCTATAGAGCTGTGAATACTTACCGGATGCACTGTATGACGTTTCTTATTCATTCCATTTCAGCTTAGTCCCTTTATTAATCTAGGGTCGCCACAGTGGAATGAACCGCCAACTTATCCAGCATATGTTTTTACGGATGCTGCAACCCATCACTGGGAAACATCCAAACACACTCACTTACACACATACACTATGGATAATTTAGCCTACCCAATTCACCTATACCACATGTCTTTGGACTTGTGGGGGAAACCGGAGCACCCGAAGGAAACCCACGCGAACACGGGGAGAACATGCAAACTCCACACAGAAACGCCTACTGACCCAGCTGAAGCTTGAACCGGCGACCTTCTTGCTGTGAGGCGAACGTGCTACGCCACCATGCAGCCTCTGTGATGTGTTCGAATAAATGTTGTGTAGCTCAAAGTTGGTAATCTGAAATCAAGGCCCGGTTTCAGAAACAGGACTAAGCTTAAACCAGGACTATCTAATTTTATTAAAATAGGGTAATTCAGCAGTTAATATAGAAATAATTGTTTTATTTCGTGTTTTAAATGATGTAACTGCGAGTTATTTTTTGTTAAGACAGCCCAATCATGCAGTATGAGCAGCCTTAAAGGGATAGTTCACCCAAAGATGATTTCATTTACTCACCCTTCATTTACCTGTTTGACATCTTATGCGTTCAACAGAAGAAATGAAGATAATTTGATGACAAAAACCTGTAACCATTGACTTCCATAGCATTCCTGCAATGAAAGTCAATGGTTACAGGTCTTCAGCTTTCTTCAAAACATCTTCAACACAAAGAAAGACACTCTGAAACCACTTGAGGATGAGTAAATATTGAGTGAGCCTAATTTTTGGGTGAACTGTCTCTTTAAATATAGTCTGTGAGAGAGTGGAAAGTAAGCAAGGTTTAATCCGTGACATTTAAAATTAACTTTCACGTTCTGACTGAATGCATTGAAGTAGCATTGAGTGTTATTTGAGGTGTATCCACCACAGGGTGGCAGTCATGCTCCAACATCTACTCGGATGGCTCTCAAATACCCTCAATGATCCCGTTCTGGGATTTTCAGTTAATGCTTGCCAACATTTTCTTCTACTCTTAACAACAAACCTCAAGGAAATACTGTGTGTGTGTGTGACTTCAGGTCATGGCCAGGACACAGAGGTGCCAGTGGAGGTGCCTGCTGGAGAACTGACGCAACTGCAGCTTCAGGTGCTTCAGCCCACTGTTACTGAGGCGGAGGCGCAGGAGCTAAAACAGGTACGTCAGCAGTTCTTACGAACACAGTCATCTTCAGCAAGTTATTTTACAGATGTGTTAAGATCACATGATCAGTTAAATGCTACTTGATTGAACTTGGAAGCTTTTTTTATTACACACGTTCATTCATGGAATTAATTGATCAGCTTAAAGCAGGCCTGTAGGCAGCCTATTGAAAGGCCTGGTTACTTTCTGAAAAAGTAAGCCTTTTTTGTAATTATTCACCCCATTTTCCAATTAGCTATGCATTTTAGTGACATTTTAAGCACCAATCTTTGCTGGATTAGCTTGTTGGATGGTGATAATAGCCACACTTTTTGTAGTACCTAATGGCGAGTTCAGACTGCATGATTTTCAAAGTAGTCGTGTCACAGATGTTTTCACACTGCTCAACTATCTGGGCTAGCGTTTCGTCGCTGCTTTGTTTACACTGCAAGATGGATCGGCGACAGGGACTTTCACATTGCATGACTTTACTATAGGAAGAATCGCCGACAACTTCGTCCAAACTACGTTCTCATAACTACATAATGAGAAAGAAGCCTTTAATGGGGTAGAACATGTCCATGTTTGCTCACCTGGGTTTAAAGGGAATTAGCCATTTCTCCTCAACGTTGATAATAAACTAATTTCTTTCTGTATGAAACGTCAAACAGACACGGCTGCTCCTGAGTCCTGTCAAACCTCCACTAGTTTTTCCTCCATTTCGTGGGTCCAAATAAACCGAAAAAGAGCGCTTTTAACTTCTCCCCCAGCCTCCCGCTGGCCTGCAGCAGGTATACACACACACACGCACACACAAGTGAAAGCTGCTCTCTCATTGGCTGTAGGCGATCGCTGATGTTATTTTCAGTCAGAACTCAATTCACACGGCATGATTTGAATCGCCGACAACTCCAGATATTCAGCACGCCAAATATCTCACAGGCATCGGCGATTCTCTCATATTCTCTCATCGGCGATTCTCTCATATCGCGTCTTTGATAGTTCATACTGTGTGATTGTCACTCACGTGCACGAGCAGCGATTTACCTGTGATTTCAGGCATTTGTCGGCGATTTCTCAAAACCTGTCGGCGAGCCAAAATCGGGGCTAAAATCACGCAGTCTGAACTAGGCATAAGCAGTTTTGTCAAAGTGCTTACCATACTATTTTACTGCATAGTGTTTATTTACAAGTTTGCATTTGAACTCTAATTTATTAAAAACATTGTTATGAGATTAGCATTTTAAATAAAATGAATAGACAAGTATGAAAAAATACTTATTGTTAAATACAAATTTATTATCACCTATTATTTAAATTAGGAAACAGGCAAAGCTTGTTTTAAACTAAAAACTGTAGCCTATTGAGGAATTGCCAACCTACGTCACACATGACGTCACTCGGGCTCCTGGTTGCAAAAAGAGACTGTTTGCAATAGTAAACATGTCATGTTGGGTGTTAGGATGCCAAATTCGAAAAATAGAGAACTTAACATTTACCGTACACCACACTGCTTTAATGCCAACCGCAGACGTCTTCGGCTAAAAGGGAGCTGAATTGAGTGAGGACCTAATTAGAAATGCTGGACTCTGCAGTTGCCCCCCCTCACTCCCATCCCGGACGAGCCCCCATGTGTTACCCACCGGTCCTACTGCACTCAATCCGGTCTGAGCTGGAATCGAATTGGTGATTCTTTGCATGGGGGTCAGTTGCACTAACAAGGAGGCTAAAGAGCATGGCCACTAGCTTCTGTTGTTAGAGCAACTTTTGAGGTCAGAGGATTGAGGTTTACTTGCATAGCCTCTGCTACAATAATAATGTTTTCTTGGCAACTTAATTGTTTTATGTTCAATCCATATAAATTTGCAAAAACAATTAAGTTAACCTAAATAAATTGTGTTGGGACAACATGAAGGAATTGTGTGGAACCCGGCATTTTTTACAGTGTAGGATTGGGTGGAATTACTAAATGGGAGAAAAACAAAGTGAGCATACTATAGTGTGACAGGGCTGTGGCTTGTTGTTTTTATGACACAGCCGAGGGAAGCCGGCTCTGAATTCCCTCTCTGCACGAAGATGCAAGACCATCACCATCATCATCATCATCATCATCTGCAGACAGCCACAACGCTAGCATGACACGCACAAACCAGACATAAACACTTTGATCATTTCAAAACACAATGTTATTGCTGTGACCAGAGGTAATTGACGGTTGGTCAACCATCGCAGATATTACTTTCCAGTATGGTTTTGGGGTTTTAAAACACTAAAAACAAACATGTAAGGATGCCGTGAGCAGATGGAAAATACATTTTTTGAAGGGATGAGACCGAGCTGGCTGTCTTATAGACAAATGTAGGGCACAAGCTGTGTATAATAATGCAAACAAAACTGTACTGCAACTCGACAATGGGATTAAAGGAGAGCATACTGATGGTGGTCCATTGAATTATTATAAACCTCAAAATAAAAAACACCTCTGATGTGAATTATTTTCTGAATATTCAATGGACTGGAGTGAATTATTCCTCCTATTCTATGGTTAACACTCCTAAAGACATTATTCAGATGTGTTTCAAGATATTTGTCAGGCTTTCTCCTCAAACCAGGGTTTGTGCGGTACTTGATTTTAATCGAGTAGTTTTAATGCTTGAAAAGTGCTTGGATTTTGGATAAAGTGCCTTAAATCTGACACGGCGGAAGGAACCGCCAACTTATCCAGCATGTGTTTTACACAGCGGATGCCCTTCCAGCTGCAACCCACCTCTGGGAAACACCCATACACTCTCATTCACACATACACCATGGACAATTTAATTTATTCAATTCAGCTATAGTGCTCGTGTTTGGACTGTGGGGGAAACCGGAGCACCTGGAGGAAACCCACGGGTTTCACTGGGAGAACATGCAAACTCCACACTGAAATGCCATCTGATCCACCCAGTACTCGAATCAGCAACCTTCTTGCTGTGAGGCGAATGTGCTATCCACTTTGCCACCATGCAGCCCTTAAAAAACTTTAATAGGTCAAACTGTCTGAGATATAAACAAAAGCAAGTCAACTCTTTATTTTAAAAAAAGTCTTAAATAGTTATAAAAAATCTTTATAATCATTAAAATAGTAATAAAAATAATTATTTTTTAAACTACTGAAGGATATTAATGAAGTAGGTCCGAAACGTTGTAGTTCTCTGTGTATTCGCTCAACTTTGCGGTGGGTTTTTTTGACCGCCCCCTGTCGTTTTAAGAATATCACAACGGCGAACACATCAAGTATAAAAGCTTGTCCATTTGGTAAGGAGCACGCGCAGTCGGTGGAGGTGCCCGATATGGCGACAGGCGTAAGTATAAATCCGGCTTTAGTCAGGGCTGTCTATGCTAAAGCCTGGTTTATACTTCTGCGTCAAGTGACCGGCGTAACCCATGGCGCATGCAACTTGTGTAGCTGTGCATTAATACTTCGGCGCGCTGTCTCTGTTGGTCTGCATTAACACTTCCGAAATGCTAGTTGGCAGTGAGGTGTAAATGTTCCTCTGTGTCGAGATTCTTCTCTGCTGTTTAGTTTTTTCTGAACACTACCTGGATCTACAAGTGGCTCAAACTCGCTTATTTTGAGGCAGGAACTGGCGGACGTGCAACAACTTGTAACTATGACGTAAACACAAAACAAAACTTTTCATCCGGAGCTCCTTCACGCGACTCCACACTTGTAAACAATCGCTCCATCGGGATCGCGTGGCTCTTGGTGCCGCCCTGACTCGTCAGCGCTATCAAGTCGACCAATCACAGAGCTTGCGCTAGGCGTCGTTCCGACGTGTTGTTACATTTTTTGAGAGGTGCATGTCAGCGACGCCGACAGCCACGGCGTAGGGCTATGCGTCAACGCGTAGGCTGTTCCGTAGCATACGCGTGCGCTTGACAGAAGTATAAATCAGCCTTAATGAGGAAGAGATGGTCACTAATGGGCGGGGCTTGCCCCCTCTGATGACACTTACAAAGAGAGAACGTCAATCAAAGTGTGTCTGCAGACTGTTTTTATAAAGTGTGATTACAAAAAAATTTAATTAATACATTTTAACCATTCAAAGTTGGTTATATTCACACACTGTTGCCGCAAAATTGTGATTACATTTTGGCATCATAGGCTCCCTTTAACTTCAGATATTCAATGTAATAACATTCTTTCTTTGGCTCTCGGCGAAGGCGGTCGCTCTTCCTCCCGCTCCGTCCCATATCTCTCCTTGCTAGCACCTCTTATCTCTTCTTATTCTATCTCTGAAGCTCTGCTTGTCCTGGTATTTAAACGAAAAAGTAATTATAGACTTGATCAACTGGTGTCTGAATGCAATTGACACCATCTTCTCGACGAGAAGCTTGGGCTCCGGGGAGCCCAGTTGTCCTGCGGGGACGTTCGCAACTGGACACGTGATGGACGGGTGGGAGAAATGGAGAGTCCTGTCTTTAGCTGCTCTGTCTCTGGAGGATATTGAAGATATCTACCAATGACTGTAAAAAATATGGACGACGCGATAGCCCCTTTTCCCATTGAACGCTTTGAGGGCAAAACGCCTGCTTGACGGGCACAAACTGTCGCAAAAGACTGCTGAAATTGGAGCCTTGACATGCGCAGAAGGACTGTCTGATGGAGCCAGAGGAGGAGCCGCGAAAATGAGCGGAGTCGAGCTTCCAACCAAACGCTTTATGTAAAATCAACCACGCCCCCCGAACTGCTCAGCATGCGTTTGCTGTCATATCAACACAAATGGATGTAATAACGTTAACAAATATGAGGGTTTTATATATTCAATCGCGCCAGCTCCGGGCCGCAGCGCATAACCTACTCGCGGCGTCGCGGGCTGATTCCGGCTCGCATGCGGCAGCAGGGTTCAATTTCACTATACGAAAGTGTATGTGACAAATAAAGGCCTGATTTGATTTGATTTGACATCTTTTGTAAAGCTGCTTCGGAAGACCTGTCAAAAGCGGCACTAACAACAGTAATAAACCTGGTTTGAATGTTTGTGTGGTGTGTGCGCAGATGCTCCAGCAGCTGAAGAATCTGGCTCTGGAGGCTGAGACGGAACTGGAGCGTCAGGACGAGGCTCTGGACGTGTTGAGCTGCTCTACTGACCACGCCACCATGAACATTAACAGACACACTCGCCGCATGAGGAAACTGCTGTGAACCCAACGTCAACAGATTAATGGTAGGATATGCACAGATATGCACACAAATATTTAAAGACCGTTTCTGAATAGAGCACTGTTTGCACAGTACTTGGGAATAAAATGTAATTCTTTTGATCTTCATGAGTAAGGTTTGGCTATTTACAAAGCTATAGAAAACATGATGAATTTGTTGAATTTATTATTATTATTATTATTATTATTTTTACAAGTGCCATACAATTTGGTAGTAGGAATGTCTGACTTTAGTACTTTATATCAGGGGTCACCAATCTCGGTCCTGGAGGGCCGGTGTCCCTGCAGGGTTTAGCTCCAACTTGCCTCAACACACCTGCCTGGATGTTTCAAGTATACCTAAGACCTTGATTAGCTTGTTCAGGTGTGTTTGATTAGGGCTGGAGCTAAAATCTGCTGGACACCGGCCCTCCAGGAACAAGTTTGGTGACCCCTGCTTTATACCAAGTATTTTTATCACCAAGTTAACACTGAAAATAAAATGTGTCATTATCTGACTGCAAACATTGTAATAAAATCATTAGCCCTCCTGCGAAATTTGTAATTATTTTAAAATGTTATTTATACACTTTATTAGGTACACCTTACTAGATTTGTCGGCTGCACATCCATGATGCGAATCTCCCGTTCCACCACATCCCAAAGGTGCTCTATTAGATTGAGCTCTGGTGGCCAGTCTGAGATGATTTGTGCTTTATGACATGGCGCGTTATCCTGCTGGAAGTAGCCATCAGAAGATGGGTACACTGTGGTCATAAAGGGATGGACATGGTCAGCAACAATTCTCAGGTAGGCTGTGGCGTTGACACAAAGCTCAATTGGTACTAATGGGCCCAAAGTGTGTCAAAAAAACATCCCCCAAACCATTACACCCCCACCACCAGCCTGAACCGTTGATATGAGGCAGGATGGATCCATGCTTTCATGTTGTTGACGCCAAATTCTGACCCGACCATCCGAATGTGGCAGCAGAAATGGAGACTCATCAGAGCAGGCAACGTTTCTCCAATCTTCTATAGTCCAGTTTTGGTGAGCCTGTGCGAATTTTAGCCTCAGTTTCCTGTTCTTATCTGACAGGAGTGGCACCCGGTGTGGTCTTCTGCTGCTGTAGCCCATCCGCCTCAAGGTTGGACCGGTTGTGTGTTCAGAGATGCTCTTCTGCAGACCTCGGTTGTAACGAGTGCTTATTTGAGTTACTGTTGCCTTTTTATTAACTGGAACAAAGCATTTACACCCACAGGACTGCCGCTCACTGGATAATAATTCTTATTCTGACTATTCTCTGTAAACCCTACAAATGGTTGTGCATGAAAATCCCAGAAAATCAGCAGTTTCTAAAATACTCAGACCAGCCCGTGTGACACCAACAACCATGCCATGTTTAAAGTCACTTAAATCCTCTTTCTTCCCCATTCTGATGCTCGCTTTGAACTGCAGCAGATCGTATTGACCATGTCTACATGCCTAAATGCATTGAGTTTCTGCCATGTGATTGGCTGATTAGAAATTTGCGTTAACAAGCAGTTGGACAGGTGTACCTAATAAAGTGGCCGGTGAGTGTATAAGTGATGTTTAACAATTTTATTTTTTCGTTTAAAAACTAAAGTCAATATTATTATCCCCCTTTTCTTCCGATCGGCTACAGAACAAGCCATTGTTGTCTCACTGTCATTTGTTTTTATTTGATCTAATATTTAAACGAATGTGTATTCCTTATTATATTACTTTTTGGCTTTTGCATTATATTGTTGCAAAAAGTATCTCAGGTCTTAGGATTGTCTCTATGTTTTTCCTCAGGTCAACATACGGTAAATCTGCGACCTACAACCTAAATCTGCTCATTTTGCATGGCCTGGCATCCTCACATCATCGTAATAAAAGAGTGATCGATGGCACAATTTGAATACTGTAATCAATTTGTAGTTGTTATGTGACATCTCAGTAACAAGATTCTGTACATTGTCAAACCCTTAACAGTAATCCTACGGTGGCTGAGAGAGCTCAAATGTGCTGCAAGTTAATAAAACATACAAATGCAATTTGACAACACACATCCTTCCGCATTCTCACAACACATGCAAATACAGAAACACACTGCAAATAGCACAGACGGTAACGTAAATTTGTCTGGGGACGCCAATAAGTGACGAAGCAGAGTTTTTTTTTGTTTATTTTAACATCCTGATCTTACAGTTACAGTTGAAGTCAGAATTATTAGCCCCCCTTAGAAAACTTTTTAAAATATTTCTCAAATGATGTTTAAAGGGCCATGAAACCCCCTTGTTTCAGCAGGGTTTTTTACACCTACTTTGGAAAAAGTCAGGAAAGTGGGCGTGTCCTGCTCTGTTTAGGGGGGAGTGTCAGAGGAGGAAAAAAAGGGAAGGTCTGTAAAAAATTTGAATAAAAATGGGAGTGTCGGTTTAGGCACGCGCTGATTTTCACAGAGGCAAAACAAACACACAGACGCAGAGGAGAAAGACAGTGACTGTGTTTACACACTGCAAAAAATGCTTTTCTTGCTTAGATTTTTTGTCTTATTTCTAGTCTAAATATCTAAAATTTCTTAAATCAAGAAGAAACGTCTAGACAAGCAAAACATACTGTCTTGTTTTGAGAAATAAAATGCCAATATTAAGTGAGTTTTTCCGTAAAACAAGCAAAATAATCTGCCAATGGGGTAAGCAAATTAATCTTGTTTTTTTCTTTTGACGTAAGATTATTTTGCTTACCCCATTGGCAGATTATTTTGCTTGTTTTACGGAAAAAACTCACTTAATATTGGCATATTATTTCTCAAAACAAGACAGTAGCTGCGTCCCAAATGGCACACTATACACTATGCACTCATGCACTATGTACTTATGCACTTACACACTCAACAGGGTAGTATATGTATGTAGTGTCGTCCCAAATGGCACACTAATGTTTTTTTACTAAGCGGAAATTCAAACCGTTTCCCTGATGACGTTTGACGGTCGCCAAATCATTGAAGTAAACGACCGAATTACCAAATAATACCTGCCGTGAGTATTGCAGAATTCACCATCGGGAGGCGCTATAATCACTCTCGTAGAAGAATTTTGCTTTCACCATCCAAAATAAATTAAGTTATTCAACATGTACGTCCGATAGCTCCGCCCCTTCCGCTACGTAAGCAAACCTGCGGTCGTTAAGTGCGTGAAGTGTCCATCATTACACACTTCATTTTACCGGCTGAATAAGTGCATCATCTGGGTAATTAAAGTGCACTTATTATTTTTAGAGTTTTCAGTGTGAACGCACTACTTACACTATTTATACTACAAAATGGCATAGAATAGTGCATAAGTATGCGATTTGAGACGCAACGAGTATGTTTTGCTTGTCTAGACGTTTCTTCTTGATTTAGGAATTGTTAGATATTTGGACTAGAAATAAGACAAAAAATTTAAGTAAGAAAAGCACCTTTTGCAGTGGGACATCAGTAATCAAATTATTTGACAAATAATTAAATGGTGGACTTTAAAGGTGCAGTAGGGGATCTGCCAAAATGCTAACTGCTTAGCATATTATCTTTGGACGGCGGGGAGGGACTGTGATTCAAAGCCACACCCCCTGAGTCACAACAGCAGACAGACAGCCCACTAGTTCATGTCATACGCCAGTTAGTTAGTGCCAGCGCCGTGCAGGAATTACATGTATTACTTTGCCACACTTACATGCTATTTCAGAGCGAATATTCAGAGCAGCATGGTAAACAGTATAGGAAGGCTGTCATTGTTCAAAAAAGTGTTTTAAGCAGTCTGGGACACATATGACGACTGTCAACAGCTCAAAAAATGTGTTTTGGTGTTTCGTGACCCTTTAACAGAGCAAGGAAATTTTCACAGTGTGTCTGATAATATTTTTTCTTCTGGAGAAAGTCTTATTTGTTTCATTTCGGCTAGGATAAAAGCAGTTTTAAATTTTTAAAAACTATTTTAAGGTCAATATTATTAGCCGCTTTAAGCTATATATTTTTTTCGACTGTCTACAGAACAAACCATCATTATACAATAACTTGCCTAATTATCCTAATCTGCCTAGTTACCCTAATTAACCTAGTTAAGCCTTTAAATGTCACTAAGCTGTATAGAAGTGTCTTGAAAAATATCTAGTCAAATATTATTTACTGTCATCAAAGATAAAATAAATAGGTTACTAGAGATGAGTTAATAAAGCTATTGTGTGTAAAAATGTGTTTAAAAAATCTGCTCTCCGTTTAAGAGAAATTGGGGATAAAGTAAACATTGGGGCTAATAATTCTGCTGCGTAAAGCATATGCTGGATAAGTCGTTCGCTGTGGTGACCCTAGCTTAATAAAGGGACTAAGCCGAAAAGAAAATGAATGAGTGAATGAACTCTTTCGTTTTGGGGTCTCTCGACACATTTTTGTTGTGATTTGCAGTATGTTTCTGTATTTGCATGTGTTTTCTGAACGTGCAGCGTATCTGAGCTCTGTCTGCCACCCTATAATCCTGCTTTATTGTCAATGCAACATGTGCTGGAATTGAATCCTATTGTTGCTAGCGTAAACCCACTGCTGTTATTTATTTACTGTACTCTTTGTGATCAGGGCAAGTGCAAAATAAACTCACTGAATTTAGTTTGTTTTCACTTCTTTCGTTTTTGAGTCTGGGGTCTTGATTTACTAATAACAATCTGTCATGGGGTTCAGCTGAAACACAACCACAGTGAAGGAATAACCCGAGTTCTAGCCTTATCTCAACATCTTGATTTGGCATGTCAAAACATTTCCCAACTGCTGTTGGCAGCTTTTCACAATAACAGCACTCGACAGTGTGGAGTGAAGTCACATTTATTTATACAGCGCTTTATACAATACACATGCTTTCAAAACAGCTCCACAGTAATAAACAAGAAAATTAGGAGTGTAAATGTAGCAGTGGTCACACTATATTTTTATGCACAATTTATGGTATTAACGAACCATTAGCTAAGACTTTAAGCTTAAATTAAGCTTATTATTAATAGCTAGTTAGGTAGTACTTGGGTTTAGGTGTTGTGTAGGATTGGGGGTATGAGGTGACATAAAGAATGTTGATCAATTAGGCAAAAATGTCAAACTGATTGACCCACTAACTGACAATTAAGTTTGAACCTACCAACCAGTCAAATGAGTTAGGATAACCAACCAACAAATCAATCAATCAATCAATCAATCAATCAATCAATCAATCAATCAATCAATCAGAGAGTCAGTCAATTAATTGATATAGAATAACCAATTGACCAACCAACCAATCAATTGATAACCAACAATGAATAACCAACCTATCGATTATTCAGTCAATTAATCAATTGCGTTAGAATAACCAACCAATCAATCAATAATCAATCAATCATGTTAAAATAACCAACCAATCAATCAGAAAGTCAGTCAGTTAATCGAGTAACCAACCAATTAATAGAATAACCAACCAACCAACCAACCTATTAATTTAGTTAGGATAACCAATCAATCAATCAATCAATTAGAGAGTCAGTCAATCGAGTTAGAATAACCAATCAACCAACCAACTGAGTTAGAATAATTAACCAACCAACCAACCAACCAATCAATTGAGTTAGAATAATCAATCAGTCAATCAATCAGAGAGTCAGTCAATCAATTGATATAGAATACCCATTAGTACCAATTAAGCATTGTGTCAACGCCACAGCCTACCTGAGTATTGTTGCAGATCATGTCCATCCCTTTATGAACACAGTGTACCCATCTTCTGATAGCTACCTCCAGCACCATGTCATAAAGCGTGAATCATCTCAGACTGGTTTCTTGAACACGACAACGAGTTCACTGTACTCAAATGGCCTCCACAGTCATCAGATCTCAATCCAATAGAGCACCTTTGGGATGTGTTAGAAAGGGAGATTTGAATAATGCATGTGCAGCCGACAAATCTGCAGCAGCTGCGTTATGTGAATGTGGAGCAAAATCTCTGAGGAATATTTCCAGTACCTTGTTGAATCTATGCCTTGATGGATTAAGGCAGTTCTGAAGGCAAAAGGGGGTCCAACCTGGTCCAACTAGTGAGGTGTACCTAATAAAGTGGCCAGTGAGTGTACATTGTACATATGCAATTTTACATTGTACTTCTATTTTTAAAAAATCTACTTGTTATATTTTAAATAATAATGTATTTGCATTTACGTTTCGTAATTAAACCCTTGTATTACTAACCCTAACCCATCCCCTACACTTTAACCCACCTGTAAACCTACAAATAACCACCCCATCCTTATCCCATCTCAAAACCACCAAGTGTTGTGCATTTAAGTATTACAACGGTAAGTTCATTGTACTTAATTTGTATTTATTTCAGTAAGTACGTTGTAGTTAAGACCACTTGATATTGACCTTATTCTTAAAAACGAGCGCCGCCATTGGACACTTTTGGCTCGACACTTCCGTTCTCATTCACTTCCATTGATTTTTAGACTTTAAAAACAGCTTGTTATGCTACATGATATCGCAAATTGATATTCTCTGATCATATTGTTCTACTTTTTATGTATAGTCATGAACACACTTGTTTGTAGAGCAAGCAGTTTGACCGTTTTCTATCGTTTATTATTACTAGTCATTTCTCTCATAGGCTACTACATCAGAAGTTCGAAAACAATCAGAAAAACGAGCGCACTTCTGCATTAAATAATAAGGTCAATAAAGTAGGACCGAATATTGTCAATACTCAGATTAATTTACCATAGATGCAGTTCAGTTTTATAACAATGTTATAAAAAAGAAGAGTTTAGCTGTAAAGCGGCAGTAGTGCCATTATTCAGCTCAAGACAGTGTTGATTGAGTTTAAACATGTTTATAGTGGAACCTTTTTAATACAGGCTCATTATTTAAGAATATCTCCATTTCCCGGTGTGACTATTGTGTAATTTTAACAAGACAGAGACCACCATGCGCTAAAGACACAGCTATGTTTCTTTTAGTAAAAATATAGAAGACCCATTAAAATCCTGACCTCAATCTGAAGCATAATGTGATTAAAGGTTTTAATGTAGCGTTTGTTCAGCATACATGTCTCCTATAGGAACCATTGGGATCTAAAAGTCCATTCACACCAAGCGCAATAACTATAAATATAATGATAATGACATCGTTTTGAATGTACAACAACATCAGAGTCCAGACCACAGCTATTACGATAAAGATGTAGAGAAAACTGTTGGGATCACTTTCAAAACCATTTCGTTCCAAGCTAGTAAATGATACTGGCAGCCAGTCAGAATGCATTGAATTTTAAATGAACCACACAATTTAAAGAAACATAAAGACAAGGCGGGACATATCGTAGCTCCTCTCTTAAATAGTAGTAAAAAGAAATCAACAATTTTTGCTTTTTTTCAGCTCTGCTAGTAAGAGTGGTTGAGATTAAACTTTTTGAAGGGGGTGGAACATTCCAGATAGTATAGAGAGTTTGATTGGTCAGAAGATTTGTGAGAAACAGAAGTATGAGACATCAAAAAAAAAAGGCAAAAATGAAAAACAGACTGACCGACTAACCGACATCTGAGTTTGAATGACCAACAAAGCAATCAATCACATGAGTTAGAATAACCAATTTGTCAACCAACCAATCAGTCAGTCAATCAATTGAGTTAGCATAACCAACCAAACAATTGGGTTAGGATAACAAACCAATCAATCAGTCAACCAATCAATTGAGTTAGAATAACCAACCAATCAATCACTTGAGTTAGAATAACTAATCAACCAACTGAGTTAGAATAATTAGTCAACCAACCAACCAATCAATTGAGTTACAATAGCCAACCAACCAATCACACACCTGAGTAAGAATAACCAACCAATCAATCTATCAGTCAACCATCTAACTGAGTTAGATAGCTAGAATAACAAACTAATCAATCAATAAACCAATTGAGTTGTAATAAGCAACCAACCAATCAACCAAGAATAACCAATCAACCAATCAATCAATCAATCAATCAATCAATCAATCAATCAATCAATCAATCAATCAATCAATCAATCAATCAATCAATCAATCAATCAACCAACCAACCAACCAACCAACCAACCAATCAACCAACCAACCAATCAATCAATCAATCAATCGAGTTAGAATAACCAATCAATCAATAAGTTAATCAATCAACTGAGTTAAAAAAATTCAACCAACCAAGTTAGAATAACCATCAATCAATCAATCAATCAATCAATCAATCAATCAATCAATCAATCAGTTGAATTAGAATAACCAGCCAACCAATCAATTGAGATAAAATAACCAACCGACAAACCAACCAACCAATCGATTAGTCAAGTTAACCAATTAATAAATCAGTCAGTCAATCAATCAACCGAGTTAGAATAACTAACCAACCAATCAATTGAGTTAAAAGTAACCAACCAACAAACCAATCAATTAGTCAATCAGTTGAGTTAGAATACTAAACAACTAATCAATCGGTCAATCAATCGAGTTAGAATAATCAACCGACCAATCAACTGAGCTAGAATAATCAATCAAATTAATAAATGAATCAATCAAGTTATAATAACAAACCAATCAATCAATCAGTTGAGTCTGAATAACCAATCAATCAAACAACCAACCAACCAATCAACTGAGTTAGAATAACCAACCAACCAAATAATGAACTGAGTTAGAATAACTAATCAGCCAACCAACCGAGTTAGAATAACCAACAATCAATCGAGTTAGAATAATCAATCAATCAATCAATCAGTAAATTAAGTTAAAATAACCAACCAATCAGTCAATCAATCAATCGAGTTAGAATAGCCGCTATGGACATCTAGAGTTCTGGTTGTTCTAGTGTCAACAATCAGACAATTTTAAAATAAACTGATCAGTTTAATGTGAATAATTGAAATATTTCCTTTTCCCACTCCTGCTGCAGTCTGCGGCACACTGACTCATCCTAAGCGTTCAGCTTTTGTTTACTCGAGGAAACCCGCTTCACTGCCTTCCTTTCCATTGCGTGATAAACATCAAGCTCTTTTTGGGATTTTCCTGCGTAAACTCTCAACACGAACCTCTCAGCTGCTCGAACTGGGCAGCCCGAAGACTTGGGAGAGAACGAGCACAAACCGGTGTGGTTAGAAGCAGCCATGCAATGTGAGGAAGTGGCAGCGGTCTGGCCCAACCACAGTCGCTGTACTTCAGATCCGGCTCTGCCTCGCAGCGGATGGTGCGGAGACACTAGTGATTTTTACTGGCCTTGACTTTCTGCTCTGTTTACATGATGGACTTGGTGTGGGCTACTCTGGCAGGAGGGGCGTCTCTGTTCATGGTGAATCCATCAGCTTCATCCTCTGTCATGGGAAAAGGTTGGTGAGGGCATGACTTCTGGATGTACCAATGGAGAGATTTACTGTAGGACAATTTTGAAAATACACTGTAAATACAGTAAACAAGTGTGAACATGCTACAAAATAAATCTGGTTAATAGAAAGTTTCCTTAACCAGTTAAACTCTGCTGTTATTTTGGGATTTCCGCCTGGATTTTGCCTACCCAAATTTAAAAGCTTCCCAAATCCACATGCAGAGGTGTAAATGCAAAAGTTTGGTATCATTTTAAAGAAAACCCTTTGAATTTTCATAAAACACTATTGAAAGTGTTTAAAATATCTGTATATGTTGTCTGTGTTATAATAAACACATAAAATAAGAGCCGCTTTTTTTTTTTTTTTTTTATAAACTCAAATGTGAAAGTGTACCTTTTAGGTTCTGTGTGGTCTAGGGTGCTGTAGTTAATTTTGGTGGTTCCTGCACATGTCTGTAATCATAGGAAAAAAGAAAAATGTCTCCACCATAATCTATGCAAAAGTTATTGTATTCCAACTGATGAGAGGAGCTGTACAAGCCACAGGGATCAATCATTCATATTTCACTATTCTTTTGTTTGATCAAACACAATTCACTGTGTTTGGACCACATCAGACATATAAAAGGATTACTTATGCACATCACCTCAAAAACAGAGGAGAATTGTCCTGAAGCGCACAGTATAAGGTGAGAGATGACAGCTGTCTGTGCTATGTGGGGCTGCTTATTGATCATAAATGTATTGTTTTCACTTCTGCGCTATGGAAACACCGCGATTCATTCGACAACTGTTTGATACGTGAATATAAGTCAGTAAAAAGAACGCTAGAACCGTATGAGCACCGGCAAGAGCTTTCATTTGAGCTATAACTTGTGCATGTGTCATATGAAAACTATGAAAATGAACCAATGTAAAATGCCCAGCTCGGGTATTCAAAATACTGTGTATTTAAGTGTAAATAACTTTTATACAGTAGAATAAAAACCAAAGTGATGCATATGTGCATAAAATATAGATTCTACACTTCCAAACGAAACCACTTAAGGGGGTCTGGTGCAACGCTAGCCCTTTAAATCCACCGGGTACCAGGTCCGCGGAGTTTATTAATATCTCCCTATCCACCACCAGTGTGCAGCATCCACCTGGATGACGCGACGGCTGCCATATTGCCGCAGACCACACACAACACCAGCTGATTGGTGGAGAGGAGACGGAGTGATGAAACCAATTAAGGTATGGGGATGGTTAGGAGGCCATGATAGACAGAGGCCAGAGGGCGAATTTGGCCAGGATGCCGGGGTTAAACTCCTACTCTTGTAGACCATGCAGGTGCTTCAACCATTTTTCCCATCTTTAAAATAGCAAACGAGATCAGACATGAGCTAAGTGCACCTACACTATGCACTTTAGATCATGCATTTAAATCATAAAAATACAGTTCTATATGCTGTTGTTCATCTTTAGTTTTATTTTCCAAGTTTAAGACCAACGATCAGATAATTCTTTATACCCTCATATAAAAAAAGTTGTAATTTTTATAGGGTGTCATAAATGTTCAACAAGACTGTATTTAGTATCAAGCCCCCAGGTGTGTCTACAACTTAGAATCTGGTCCCTTTTCTAAAATATTTGGACAGCCTCGTGAAAAACAGGCTTAATGTGAATATGTACCCTCGTATACATTTCTGGAGAGCATGAATTATGGAGCCAGAGCTACATATGGCTGCATTTCGCCTTTAAAGCAAACACTATGGGGCAGTATGACACCGCTGATGGCTCTTGCATTCATTCATTTGTCCCTTTATTGATCCGGGATCGCCACAGCGAAATGAACCGCCATTTTATCTAGCACGTTTTTACACAGCGGATACCCTTCCAGCCGCAACCCATCTCTGGGGAACATCCACACACACTCATACACTACGGCTAATTTAGCCTACCCAATTCACCTGTACTGCATGTCTATGGACTATGGGGGAAACCGGAGCACCCGGAGGAAACTCACGCGAACGCAGGGAGAACATGCAAACTCCACACAGAAACGCCAACTGACCCAGCCGAGGCTCGGACCAGCGACCCTCTTGCTGTTAGGCGACAGCACTACCTACTGCGCCACTGCGTCACCTTGCTGCTGATGGCTTCTGTTAGTTTTTGCGATCCCAGCTGACCGCTTACCTCTGTGTGGACAGCTTTTCTGCTGTTACCAGTTTAAGGTAAAACAAAAACAAAAGGCAAAAAATACAATAAACAGTAAATAGGTGAGAATGTGGTAAAAATCAGGTGAAGCCTTTTCTTTTTTCTGGATTGCTTTTCAAAACACTTTCAGTTGGGTTTAGGGAAGGGGGTTGGCGGGGTTATCGGTTGGTCAGTCAGTCAGTCGACAGCGGCCTCTAGTGGATTTATGTGAGAACAGCAGGCGCGAATGGCACTCATGAAAGAAATTTGAGATCTGAAAAAGCGTACACAGCGGCCTCTGATGGTTTCGCTAAAACAAAAACTACAAAAAAAATGTACCTCCTGGGACATATTTTGCGATCTCCAGAAACGTATAAAGGGGTACGGATTAATAATGAGCCTTGGTTGCACATGAAACCTGTTATCCTGTGAGCACCTAGTTATACAGGTGCTCCATCACTATCTGCTATGGAAACTGCAAGCGCTAGTGTGAACCGAACACAGCTACAAAGGCAAAAGTCATCTCCATTACATCCTGAACATTTTCCTTGCACAATGCCAGTAGAATAATGATGGACCCCACCCAACCCTTCCCACAGTCTGTTCCAGCTCCCGCTGCTGGTACCAGAGCATCAGCTCTCACTCTAAGCCAGACTGCAGCTTATTCCCACAGAGATTCCCAAGTCCAGCCACCCCTGTCCAAACCTCAACCTCCAAAATCAGTTTTGCATCTTTATCCAGCCGTTCAGTGTCAGTGCATAGTGCCACCACAAAACATGGGGAATGGACCAGAGTATATTACATTGTACTTGCAATCTCTGAGTAATGTATTTATTATGGAGCATGCATTAAAAAACCTTAATGAAAATAAATTTCCCAGTTTCTTGAGAAATACTCACTCTCTGCCATGACATGTGATCCATTTTTACCAGAACTGCTCCATGCTTTTTGAGTACTGACAAAGCACCTTCCCAGAAATACATTTTAGAAGTGGAAATGATCAATCTAGGAAAGTCCCCGCTTCTGCTTAAAACGCTTTCCTCTTCCACATCCATCTGAGAGTAGCCAACTCTTTCCTTTTTTTCAGAAGTTGCCATAATCTCTGTCTTACGAGCAATTTTCTGACTTATTGTATTTTAATAGTTCATATGGAAACTAGAGAAAATTATAGCTTGAATGTCATCCTCCGTGTCAGGAATTAGTATTACAGATGAAAGGCAGGCAAAACAAAATATCTGAATGCATTAGGCAGGACAAGAAACACTATTGCTGCTGCTCGTGGTTTGTTATGATGGATGGATGGATAAATGGATGGATAGATAGATAGATAGACAGACAGACAGACAGACAGACAGACAGACAGACAGACAGACAGATGATGGATGGATGGATGGATGGTGTATTGGACCAAAAAATTTGTTTGAAATTGCAAATAAATAATGCGATATAAAAATTATATATATATACACATACATACATACCCGTACTGCCTCTTTACCCTTTGTGTATTACTCCGCCCACATACAGCCAGGAAAAGCAGACACTACAGATCTAAAGTTTAAAAGATGCTTGCTCAGCTGTTTAACTGTCAGCTTATGATTTGAATCTGGAAGAAAGTAGTTCCTCATACAAAAGGGTTTTTAAGACTTTCCATGTTTGATTTTGTTTTTATATACACAATTATGCCGTCAAACTGTTGTATAAACGCAATATCACACTCGTAGCAGTGCGATATGGCTGTGTATCGACACTGGTGGGGGCACTAAGGCACTCGACCTGCGGCCTTGTGCCAACGCACGCCTCCCACCAGTGCCGATATACAGCCATATCGCACTGCTACGAGTGTGATATTGCTCATATATATATGATATTCTATATATTATGTTGCCATATATGAGTTATTGTGTTGAAATGTGGTGGAATGCATGTAAATGTAACTAACGATCCTCATGTACTATGCAGAAAAAAAGTCATTACACTGATTGAAAATGTGGGCTATTTGGAGCATACAAATCCCATTTTTTTTTTGTTTAATTAAAGATACCTAAGTTCAATGATTTGATTAAATTTAAAACAGCACAATTTATGTTTAAAGCTGAGAAAAAAGGAGGTTTTTAGGAGGTTGAAAACAAGGACAACTATAAAATGTTTGTCTGTATTTGGTGTGAAATTATGGAAAAGTCTATATATATATATATATATATATATATATATATATATATATACACACAGTTAAAGTCAGAACTATTAGCCCCCTTTGAATTTTTTTCTCTTTTTTTAAATATTTCTCCAATTATTTTTAACAAAGGAAGGAAATTTTCACAGTATGTCTGATAATATTTTTTCACCTGGAGAAAGTCTTATTTCAATATTTACTTTTTACCTTTAATATTTTAAAGGAATATAATGATGAATATATATATATATATATATATATATATATATATATATATATATATATAAGTAAATATTGAAATAAGACTTTCTCCAGGAGAAAAAATATTATCAGACATACTGTGAAAATTTCCTTCCTTTGTTAAAAATAATTTGAGAAATATTTAAAAAAAGAGAAAAAAATTACTGTACGACTAATCTGATATCTCACTTGAAGTGGCGCCACGGTGTTGTTGTGAAAGCATCTTCCAGTGTCCCTGCATCCCCGGCTTCCTGCTCTGCTTCAACTGTAGCTACCAGCTCCAAAAGTGGTGAGAAAAGCATTGCAAGTATTTTTTCATGCGCAACAGTTTTGTGCGCTCTACGCCAATAACGAATGCTATTGCATTGTTCATCTGCAAAGATATTCAGCCTAGTGTCACGGAGAACGAAGGTTTTAAACACCTCCTCCTGTTAATTTTTATTTATCTATATTTTTATTAGCCTGTTGTTTACAGTGACAGTGATGTTTCAAAGCAGCATAACACTGCCAGTTCACGACCTTAAGTTTTGAATATTCAGTGGCAAAATATATCTTTGTAAAACTTGTTTTCATAGTTGAAAAGTTAAATCACAATTCTTGTTGTGCAA